GAGTCCACGAAAACCCACAGTGTGCTTAGGTCTGAGGGGGCAAGGAAGGGAGCAGGGGGGTTGGGAGGCTGAAGGGACTCTGGACAGGCCTCTCTTCCCACCCAGGTATCATCGGGAAGAAGCACGTGGGGCCAGAGACCGTGTACCCATTTGACTTTGCTTACACAGAGGAGAATAGCTCTGTCCTCCAGGTGGGGCGGAACATCACGAGAATTAAGCTGCTTGTCCGGAAATTCTTGCAGACTCAGGATGACCGGTACGAGGCGGGGCCCCTGTCCCTTCCCCCGGCGGCTGGCCCCAGAGCACAGCCGAGTCTTCAGGTGGGATGCATGGGCCCCCATGTGGCTGGAGTGGGGGTAGGGGAGAAGGTTCTGGGTATTCAAGTTAGTCTGGTCATGAGGAGAAGGGACATGGGGAAACTGAGGCAGTGAGGGTCATAGGTTGACGTCCAGATACAGAGGAGGCAGAGCCGAGGGGCTTCCCGTGCCAGGCAGCACTGGCCCCACAGCCTTGGCAATGAGCCTTCTCCTGTGCAGGCCTTTCTTCCTCTACATCGCCTTCCACGACCCCCACCGCTGTGGACACTCCCAGCCCCAGTACGGAACCTTCTGTGAGAAGTTTGGCAATGGAGAGAGTGGCATGGGTCGCATCCCAGACTGGACCCCGCAGGCCTATGACCCACAGGACGTGCTGGTAGGAGGCCCCTCCCTCGTTTCAGGACACCCTTCAGCCCTGGGTCAGGGACGTGGCCCTCTCGTGAGCTTGCAGCTCTGGCCCTAGGTGAGGAAGAAAGATGCTCTAACCAAACTGGATTCAAGTTCCCATCCTCGGGGCCACAGAGAACTGTAGAGAGATGGGGTGGTCCAGAGTGAAGCTCTTCTGGGCTAATCCATTCACAGCAGGCCTGGGGAGAAGGCTGGGTGCCACTCCCCCAGTCAGCCGTTCTAAGCCTGGCTCCCTCCACCTGCTCCAGGTGCCTTACTTTGTCCCCAACACCCCGGCAGCCCGAGCCGACTTGGCTGCTCAGTATACTACCGTCGGCCGCATGGACCAAGGTGGGCTTGCGGAACTGGGCACTCGGGGGCGGGGGAGGGGACACAGCCTGGGTCCCCCATCCTGGGCCAGCATCCTCTCAGTCAGGTCACAGCAGAGTGTGGGTGAGGGTCTCAGGGTGGCAGGCCCTGTGTGCCCAAGGGGTGGTGCCACAGCCTGGGTCCCCCATCCTGGGCCAGCACCCTCTCAGGTCACAGCAGAGTGTGGGTGAGGGTCTCAGGGTGGCAGGCCCTGTGCAGCGGCAGGTGGAGCCCACACTGAGAGGAGGGGTCTGCAGGTGGCATGGGGACCCACCCTGGGCCTGCCCTGACATGGAGCTGCTGCTGGGCTGGGATCTTAGGGTACCCCAGAGGTTGGTTGGGTGAAGATTCCAGATACTTCCAGCAACAGGGCCTGGGTCAGATGTGGGGTCTGGAGTTCCCTAGCTTATGCAGATGGAGAACTTGGGGCATGTGAGTTTTTTGTGGCTATCCTAAAAAGTACCACAAACTAGATGGCTTACAACAACCAAAGTTTGTCTTCTCACAGTTCTGGAGGCCACAAGATTGAAATCAAGGTGTCAGCATGGCCATGCTTCCCTGAAGGTCTAGGGGAGACCCCTGCCTTTCCTTCTGCAGCTTCTGGGGGCTGCGGCAGCGCTCAGTGTTCTGGGCTGGCAGCAGCATCGCCCCCATCTCTACTTAAACCTTCACATGCCTTTTTCCTGCCTCCTCTTTTATAAGGACCCCGTCATTAGATTTAGGGTCTGGCTGGGCACTTCAAGATGATTTTGTCCCAGGATCTTTATCTTCAAAGTGCCCCTTTCCAAACAAGGTCCCCATCACAGATTCCAGTGCACATGTCTTTTGGGGTCGGGGGTCACCATTCAACCCACAATTGGAGGTTGGAACCTCTACCATTTCCCTGTTGGTGCCACTAATTCTTGGTGATCAGGGAAGCAGTGGGTATAGAGGAAAGCTTGTCTTATGGCCTCTGCCCTATTTGCTCCATGGGACAGACATAAGATTCCAGAGAACCCAGAAGCTGGTGGGCAGCAGGGAGCAGGTGCCTGGGGATGACGCTGAAGTGCCAAGGGAAGGCTAGAGTCCCTGGAGGCCCATTCGAGGCCTGCTCAGAGACTGGGAGCTTGGCGGAGCTGGGCAAGAGTCAGGGCCGGTGGGAAGAACAGGAGTTCTTTCAAATCCAGAAAGCACTGGAGCCCAGTGGCTGGATGAAGCAGTGGGCGGGTACCCACACTCCCCTGCCTCCGCACATGTCTGCAGCTGAGCTCTGCTCTCCTGCCCCTCACTGCAGGAGTTGGACTTGTGCTCCAGGAGCTGCGTGATGCAGGTGTCCTGAACGACACACTGGTGATCTTCACATCCGACAACGGGATCCCCTTCCCCAGTGGCAGGACCAACCTGTACTGGCCGGGCGCCGCTGAACCCTTACTGCTGTCATCCCCGGAGCACCCGAAACGCTGGGGCCAGGTCAGCGAGGCCTATGTCAGCCTCCTAGGTATGCCTCTGCCTGCCTCTGTCAGGGAAGGGGTGGGAATGGACGTGCGCTGGGGCCACAATGTGTCAGATGCTACTCCACACCCATTACCTCTTGTGGCTCTCGTATCATCTGGGCCAGGAAGGGACTGTTATTCCCACTCTATAGAGGAAAAGAATGAGGCTCAGGGGGTGAAGTAAGCTGTTCAAGACTGCACAGCTGATAAGCACTAGGCTATGATTCCAGCCTGGATCCCACTGCTGTCAAAACCATTGCTTTTCCCCGCCTACCCTGTATGAGCTTCGGAATCACCTGGGATGCTTATTAATGTCCAGACCGCACCCCGCAGAGTGTCTGATTCCGTAGATTTTGGTGGGGCTCAAGAATTTGCATGTCTGACATGTTCCCAGGTGATGGCGATACTGTGGGCCTGGGGACCCCTTTTTGAGCATCCCTGCACCCCATCCTGCTTTCTTGGGGGACCCAAAGCACCTCATGACCCTGCTTATTTTTAAAAGGCCCTGGGACATCTAGTCCCATGTTATGGACGTGCAGACAAAGATAGGGGTGCAGGAAGAATTTGCAAAGGGCTCGGGGTGAGCCCCTTGGCACAGGGCAGAGGCCCGCCGTGTCCTGCACTCCGCCTGGCAGAGCCTCCAGGAGGGGTGCGCTAGGGCAGCAGCACACTCAGGTTCCCTTTCCCTCCGAGCTCGGGGCCCACATCTCTCTCTGGCCCCAAAGCATGACCGGGAGCACTGAGGCCGCACCCACCACAGGGTGGGAGTAGACTTCTTTTCTGGTCCGTAGGATTTTAGGAGGATCCTAAATGTCACCGAGTCGAGGCCTCTTGCTATGCCATCCGAGGCACCGTGGCCCAAAGAGATGGCTGGCAGTGAGAGGTGTCAGCTGGACAAGGCACGTCCTGCTGCTGATTGCATTGGAGAAGGTAGCCACCCACAGTGGCATAGGTTCGGCCCTTCAAGGGCAGCTCCTGCGTGCTGAGGGCTGTGCAGCTCTGAGACGCCGCTTCCCTTCCAGACCTCACGCCCACCATCCTGGATTGGTTCTCCATCCCCTACCCCAGCTATGCCATCTTTGGCTCGAAGACCATCCAGCTCACTGGCCGGTCCCTCCTGCCAGCGCTGGAGGCCGAGCCCCGCTGGGCCACCGTCTTCGGCAGCCAGAGCCACCACGAGGTCACCATGTCCTACCCCATGCGCTCCGTGTACCACCAGAACTTCCGCCTTGTGCACAACCTCAACTTCAAGATGCCCTTTCCCATCGACCAGGACTTCTACGTCTCACCCACCTTCCAGGACCTTCTAAACCGCACTGCCACTGGGCGGCCCACGGGCTGGTACAAGGACCTCCATCATTACTACTACCGGGCACGCTGGGAGCTCTACGACCAGAGCCGGGACCCCCATGAGACCCAGAACCTGGCCACCGACCCGCACTTTGCTCAGGTTCTGGAGATGCTTCAGGCCCAGCTGTCCAAGTGGCAGTGGGAGACCCACGACCCCTGGGTGTGTGCCCCTGACGGCGTCCTGGAGGAGAAGCTCTCTCCCCAGTGCCAGCCCCTCCACAACGAGCTGTGACCACCCCGGGAAACCTGTGCACACGTCCCACACACATCCCTGTGGCGGCCAGCCTGGGGAGCAGTGACGACAGTCCTTCCCTCCACACTCCCGTCCAGGGTGGGTCCTTCCTTCCTGTAGGGTGTCACTCCCGCCAATGCCTGGAGGGGGACCAGAGCATGTGCCCAGCCCCTCCACCATCGGGGCACTGCTGTCATGGCAGGGGACACGGCTGTCTCGTATCTGAACCACGTCCCGGCACCGGAATTCTAGCCATGATCTGCGGACAGGGCAGCATCCCCAGCCTATGACAAGGGGGTTTTCTGGCTTGGTTTGGGGACCTACATATGGGAGGCTTGAGGCCTCTTTGGGCTTCAGCACCCACAGATGCTTCTGAGCCCTTCACAGAGAGCAGGTGGGGGCTTCGGTGCTGCATGAGCAGTGGCAGAGTGGGTCCCAGCTACACTCGCCTGTGAGCACAGCGCCTGGCTCTTCCCAGCCTCTGGCCTAGCGGAAGCCTTTGAATGACCCTTGGCCTGGTTTCTGCTTCTTCTGTTTTTCCCCATGGTCAAGCACCAGGTCCCCAGGCAGGTTTCAGCTGGTTGGCAGCAGGTTCCCTGAGTGAGGAGTGTTTCTGGGCAGAAGCTTCTCTCTTGAGTGCCTGAAGATGAAGGCATGGCAATGCCCCTGTCCTCTGGCGCGGGTTAATTCTTGGGTGACACCGGCATTGCTGGGAGAATGCGCCGTTCCTGCCTTGCCCCCACCCACCTTGGGAGCAGAAGCTGAGCCTGGATACCCCTCAAAGGAGAGGGTGCTTCATTGAGTGGGTGGGCTGCCCTTGCCCTTTCTCCCATCACTCTATACTGGGGTGGGCTGGAGGAAGCCACAGGCCAGTGACTGTGAAACCTTTTTATTTCAGTAAAATACAGTTCTTTTTCTGAACTGCTTTATGACAATACTGAATTCTAGAACAGCTTTCTGGTTTTCAGACACTGTTGTCTAATGACATTCACTCTGCCACAGTCCCAGGAGGTCAGGCAAGGCCAGGCGCTGGGGGACTTGGGTCCTCCCCTGAGCCCTGGGGGTGGAGTAGCGATGTTTGAGGGCTGGGGTGCAAAGTCAGGTTGGGGGAAGGCAGAGTCCACCGGGCCCTGTACAGGGGTGTTGGTGCCAGGCTTTTCCAGGATGACCCCACTGAACGGGCATGGGCCCACTGAGAGTACTGTCTGTATCAACCAGAAACATCATTTACAAGTAAACACACCGGCCTCTGTAGACTGGAGTTTGGAGGCATCGCAGCCTCAGAAGCTGAGAAAAGGCAGGGTCATGGCATATGTGGGCTTGTGCCTCTGCCCCCGGCAAGGGTGGCAGCAACCTTGGGGGCCCCCCTGGCTCCCCACCCACTGCTGCTGTGCTTTTGGAGCAAGACTTTGACACATCAAAATGTAAAAGGGAGGTGCAGCCCCTCGGATTTGAATCAGGCCTACAGACAGGTGGTTTTGCAGAGGCCTGGGGCCTCCAGTTCTAGGGAAGGCGTGGAAAGGCGTCCCTCCTTTCCCACGGCAGAAACATTCTCAGAGTCTCCAGTTTAGACCATGGCAAGCCTGGTGACAGGTGAAGATGGTTTCCACAGAAAAGTAAGCAGATACAAGTGGCTTCACCATGTGCGCCCTGCGCATGGTGAGGGTTCAACGTTAGACCCCAGCCAGAGGGGAGAGCTGGCCTCATGTGCCAAGGAGCCCACAGTTCTGCCAGAGGCCCTGAGCTCAGGAACAGGACTGCATTCACCGGCACCCAGAGGACTCCACAGTCCCGGGAAGGCATATGGGTTCGTCACTGAGGGCTCTGCTCTGCCCACACCACCTTCTTCTGCTCGTCGGCAATGGCCTGGCGGACACAGCTGAGCAGGCCGTCCACATCGCTCCAGCTGTCGGGAGCCAGGGTGCTGTACAGACAGGGCGCCCGGTCCAGGTCTCCCTCCTCCTGCCTGGCGGCCTCCAGGAGCTGCTCCTCCGAGGTGCCCAGCCGCTGTAGGCCCTTCCTGCACAGGCCAGAGATGGGGGGATGGGCTTAGGGGAGGGCAAGGGCCCAGCAGCCCAGCTGGGGTAGCATGAACACAGGTGGACTCGCTTTGAGGGGACTTTGTAAAGAAGATGGGGCCTGGGTCCCAGTGGTGAGGACAGGCCATCTGGAACACAGCCTTGGCTCCCGCAGTGGAACGGACACAGTAGCAAGACATCTTGGTCTGTCCCCAGTAAACCAAGTAATTTTTATTTACCTTTTTTTTTTGTCCTTAGCCAAATAGGGTTAGACCGCACCCCAGTAAGTGCGAAGTGTCAGTGGAGCTGGGGCTGGGTGTGGGGTCTGGCCTCACAGTGGTCCTCTAGGCTGCTCTTGGGGAGGGAGTGCCAATGTGTTAATTTACAACTTTAAATTTCAATGATAAAATGTCATTTGCCAGTGACTGGGCTATTTTTGCCCACTATTTGCAAAAAGGCACCCTCATCCTGGTATCAAGATTCCTGAGAGGCCAGATTTGAAATCAAGTTTGTTTGGTGAGCATGAAATCAGAGTAGGTTTTTTTTTTTTTTTTTTTAGACAAGAGTTTCGCTCGTTACCCAGGCTGGAGTGCAATGGCGCGATCTCAGCTCGCCGCAATCTCCACCTCCTGGGTTCAGGCACTTCTCCTGCCTCAGCCTCCTGAGTAGCTAGGACTACAGGCGCGCACCACCATGCCCAGCTAATTTTTTGTATTTTTAGTAGAGACGGGGTTTCACCTTGTTGACCAGGATGGTCTTGATCTCTTGACCTCGTGATCCACCCACCTCGGCCTCCCAAAGTGCTGGGATTACAGGCGTGAGCCACTTTTTTTCTTTTTTGACACCGAGTCTCGCTCTGTTGCCCAGACTTGAGTACAGTGGCTTGATCTCAGCTCACCGCAACCTCAGGTTGAAGAGATTTTCCTGCCTCAGCTTCCCGAGTAGCTGAGATTAGAAGCGCCTGCCACCATGCACAGCTAGTTTTTGTTTTTATTTTTGTTGTTTTCGAGACAGAGTCTTGCTCTGTCACCCAGGGTGGAGTGTAATGGTTCGATCTCCAGCTCACTGCAACTCCTCCACCTCCCAAGTTCAAGCAATTCTCCTGCCTCCGCCTCCCAAGTAGCTGGGACTACAGGCGTGTGCCACCACGCCCAGCTAATTTTTGTATTTTAGTAGAGACAAGGTTTCTCCATGTTGGCCAGGCTAGTCTCGAACTCCTGACCTCAAGTGATCTGCCTACCTCAGCCTCCCAAAGTGCTGGGATTATAGGCTTGAGCCACTGAACCCAACCTTGTTTTTAAATAGAGACAGGGCTTCTCCATATTGGCCAGGCTGGTCTTGAACTACTGACCTCAAGTGATCTGCCTGCCTCAGCCTCCCAAAGTGCTGGGATTACAGGAGTGAGCCACCACACCCAGCCTAGTTTTTGTATTTTTAATAGAGACGGGGTTTCTCTATGTTGGCCAGGCTGGTCTTGAACTCCTGACTTCAAGTGCTGGGATTACAGGTGTGAGCCACCATGCCCAGCCAAAATCAGAGGAATGTCATGAGCTATCAGCAGGGTCCTTGTCCCAAAGTTGTGTGGAAACTGCCCCGTCAGCGCCTCAGGTTCCTGAAAGCCTCAGAGTGCACTCCGGAGGCACCTGCCGTGGGCTTCTAGGGAGCCCAGGAGCTACTTCAAAGCCTGCTGCCCAGCCCCCAGCATGCACCTACTTGAGCTTCTTCGCCATCTTCTCATTGACAGAGACGTGGATGATGATAGGGAAGATGTCCATTCTGTGCAGGGCGCAGACACTGTCCAGCTGGATGTCCAGGAGGGCGTGGATGTTCTTTGCGGGAGGGAGAGGGAGAAGTGAGTCAAGATCAGGGGCCTCGGAGGAAGTGAAAGGAGACTGTGTCCAGGTCTGAAGGGCCCTCTGGGCAGGCTGACGGTAGGAGATGGGCAGTACTGAACTTTGCAGAGGAGATGGGGGAAGAGAGCTTGCCACTTTCTTCTCTTTTTATTTTTTTAGTTTTTAATTTTTTTGTAGAGATGGTGTCTCATTATGTTGCTCAGGCCAGTCTCAAACTCTTGGGCTCAAGCAATCTTCCTGCCTAGGCCTCCCAAAGTATGGGGATTATAGGCATGAGCCACCATGTCCAGCCACTTTCTTTATTTATGAGTTTTTGCCCTTATTGCTCAAGCTGGAGTGCAATGGCGCAATCTTGGCTCATTGCAACCTCTGCTTTCTGGGTTCAAGCAATTCTCCTGCCTCAGCCTCCTGAGTAGTTGGAATTACAGGCGTGTGCTACCACAGCCCAACTGATGTTTTGTATTCTTAGTAGAGACGGGGTTTCACCATGTTGGCCAGGCTGATCTTGAACTCCTGACCTCAGGGATCCACCCGCCTCAGCCTCCCAAAGTGCTGGGATTACAGGCATGAGCCACCACGCCTGGCCCTCTTTTAATTTTTTAATTTTTTTTAGTTAAAATTTTTCTATTTAGAGACGGGGTCTCACTGTGTTGCTCAGGCTGGTCTCAAACTCCTGGGCTCAAATTATTCTCCCGCCTTGGCCTCACAAAGTGCTGGGGTTACAAGTGTGAGCCCCTGGGCCTGGCCGAGTTTGCCACTTTCTAAATAAGGCTGCTTGCTGTGCAGTCTGAAGAGTTTTTGTCCCTTTGATTTTTCACTGGGAAAATCTAGAAACTGAGCTCTGGGGACTGAGGTGGACTTAGCATGGAGCTCTGCCAGCCCCTAGGGCTGCCAGGCCTTGCTGTCCATGCCTGTGCAGACACAGCTGTGGGCCATGGAGAACTGCTTTTCACGCGTTTGTCTACGCTGTCAAACATGGAGAGTGTTGTTATCTGGGATCTATTCATTCTCAAACAAATACCTATGAAACACTCCCCCACACACACACCACAGCTGAGGAAACTGAGGCTCAAGCAGCTGGGAGGCTTCACCGATGGTCACGTTGATCTTAACTGGCTGAGACGAGGTTTGAGCTCCTGCTGGGGTGTTGGGACCCAGAGGTCGGTGACAAGGTCACCAGGTCTCAGGTCAGTCCCTGTACCTTTATCTCATCCCCCTCCTCTGCATTCCCGAAACCCTCCCCAGGACAGCTCCCCTACCTACCCCCGCTTGCCCTCACCTTTTCCATGAGGGACTCCACAGCATGGCGAGTCACCCAGCAGCGGCCCCCAGACACCTCTCCCTCCTGGACGATGTCCCCTCTCTGGCTCCAGGCCTCATACTCCTCCTGGCTCAAGTACTCTGCAGATGACATCGGACAGGGCCCTCATACACCAGCTTCGTGGGGGTCCCAGGGAGTCCCATGGTAAATACTCCCGTCACCAGGCCCCCCGCCAGCCCTGGGAGAAGCTCTTCCCAGGGTGTCCACTTTACACACCTGGCTCTGCACACCCCGCTCTGTGCCCTGAACCTCCATCCTGAACTATCTGGACAGAGCAGGTGAGCATGGGAATGTGCACTGTGGGGAAGGGAAGGAGATGGAAGTAGAGGAGGAGGGAGGGAGGGGTAAAGGAAGGGACTGGAGGAGGGGAGGAGGGATTTCCAGGTAACAGTATACCTGCCAGGCACTTTTTAAACCCTTGGAGGAGGCACAGCTTCTCACTCAGGATCTTCCCAACCACCCTGGGCACGAAGAGCACAGGCCGGGGCCCAGCGGGCCGATGCGGGCACACCAGGGTGTAGGGCACCAAGGTGAAGCAGCTCTCAGCCCAGAAGCACGTACTGGAGTCTGCAGAGGAGGGGAGCCAGAGGGTTGGGGAGGCTGCCGCAGCCTGGGCCTCCTTTGCTCACTGCAGCAGCCCTAACACCTAGAGTACCAGGGTCACAGGCTCAGCGGTCACAGACTGGGTCTGAGTTCCACAGCCCCAGCAGAGCGGCTCCTTTGCACGTGCGTTACACAGCTCTGTGGCTCTCCAGGCACCACTTTGCAGCCTGCAACTTAATCCTGGTTTCCTCTAGGCCCCAGGGAGGATGGCAGGAGCCAGGGTTTTCTTCCTTCCAAAGAATCTGGGAGAGCAGCATCCTCCTCAGCCATCCTCCCAGGGCACAGGGTTCAGCCTTCCCTCCGTCCTGGGCCCCTGTAACCTGAACTTTTTTTTTTTTTTTTTTTTGAGATGGAGTCTCGCTCCGTTGCCCAGCCTGGAGTGCAGTGGCGCGATCTCAGCTCACTGCAACCTCTGCCTCCCAGGTTCAAGTGATTCTCCTACCTCAGCCTCCTGAGTAGCTGGAATTATAGGTGTGCACCACCACACCCAGTTAATTTTTGTATTTTTAGTAGAGATGGTTTCACCATGTTGGCCAGGCTGGTCTCAAACCCCCAACCTCAAGCAATCCACCCACCTTGACCTCCAAAAGTGCTGGGATTATGCTTCTGGACTGGATTTTTTTTTTTTTTTTTTTTTGACTATTCTATTGCCACAGATTACAGAAGTAGGAGCACTGGTTTACAGGACTTTAAAGATGGGTAGCTCAATTGCTCTCCAGAAATGCATGTGGATGTCAACCATGATTCTTAAAGCGCAGATCCTGGCCTAAATGAGTGGCCTCCCCCTGCCCCAGTGGACCAACTAACAGCAGGTCCCAAAGCCCCTTGCCCACTTGGAGCCAGCAGCCCCTGTGCCAGCTCACCAGGCCTCACCCTCCATCCTGCTGGAGTCTGATTTGCCCCTGTCAAAGGACAAACACAGAGGGCTGGCCTTGGCTTTGTCCATACTGACGATGCGGACCAGCTTCTGCGGTCCCCCGGAAGATGGCTGAAGGAGGGACGGAGAAGAGAGGAGGAGGAGCTGTTGAAGCCATCAACACAGGCCCAGCAGCCCCCTGTCCTGACACCTACCCCACCAGCAAATCCAGTGTGGTCTCTGCACCATCAGACTGTGCCCACTGAACAGCCAGGATGCCCAGAGCCTGTGCCAGGAGGTGGGGGGCTCAAGGGGTCCTCAGGTTGATAGTCCCAAAGCAGGGCCCTGCAGTAAGGGGTGGGCTGCCAAGGCAGGAGGAAGGACAGAGGTCTCCCCCGTGCTCAGCCCCACATCATCCTGGGGAACTGGCCGAGCCCTGTCCTGTGGTTCTTAGCAACCGCAGGGACGGGTGGGTGCTTAGCAACCTGCCAAGTGTCCTGTGTCTGGAGAACACAAAGGCGCCTGGCGCAGAGGAGGGGGAATTCAGGGAAGATGACCGTCACTAGGGTGCCCCGGGAGTAATGCAGAAACACGGCTGCTCTGAGAGCACCACGAAATATGCTACACCCATACAAGAGCCTGCAGGCTGGCTGGGGGCCGCAGACCCTGTCCTGGTTTGAAGGTGCCCAGAGGAGAGACAGGCAGAGTCATCCTCCTCCAATTAGCATCCCACACTCTCCACACGGTGCCCTTGCCTCCCTGCCAGCACTGTTTCCCTCTTCCAGCTCACCCCAGGGGGCCAGGACCCTCCTGGAGGCTCACCTTGCGGGTGACTGTGCACTGCTGAGTCATGTCCTGGATGAGGGCTATGAGCTGCTGCTGAGCCCTGCGCATACCAGGAGAGGTCCTGTCCCGGCTGCCTCCTGCCAGGAGAGCCGAGCAGGGGAGAGCCGGGCAGTGGGGAGCAGGGCAGGGAGGAGTGGGGCGAGAGAGAGCAGGGCAGGGGGAAGCAGGGCAGGGGAGGGCAGGGCAGCGGAAGGCTGGGCAGGGGAGAGCGGGGCAGGGGGGAGTGGGGGAGATGGCTGGGTGGGAGAGGAGGTGCTCCACCTAGAGCTCCAGACACCCCTTTGCTTCAGGCAGGAGTGCTCCACCCTAGCAACCATCACAGTCTCCAGAGCTTTCCAAAGACTCGGTGCCCTGAGCCCAGCCCTGGAGATACTGATTTACTTAGGCTGGGGTGGGACCCAGGGGATGCTGATGAGCAGCCAGCTGCAGGGCCCTGCTCCAGAACCTCACTATTTACAGTGGGCCCATGGCCTGCAGCCTGGAGTCACCAAGAAAGCTGTTAGAAATGCAGAGTGCCAGCCCTCTCCCAGGACCTGCTGGCTCTGAGCCCCGAGGGACTTGAGTTTGCAATAAGGGTTGGGGATGCTGAGCTCGACACTCGAGCTTTCTAGCACCGAGCATTCTGCACATTTAAACCTTGGAGCCTCCTGTAGGCCGATCTAGAGCAATCGTTTTCAATGGAGCAGGGCAGGAGGCAGTGTCACTCCCCAGGGAAGGTGACCAGCTGTCCCTGCTTGCCCAGGACTGAGGGGTCCCCTGCATGTGGGGCTTTCAGTGCTAAGACCAAGACAGTCCTAGGAGGACCAGGGGACCCTTGGCAACATAGGGAGACATTTCTGGTTGTCACAAATGGGGCGTGGGAGTGCTCCCGGCATCCTGAGTAGGAAGGCCCCGCTGCAGGCAGGGGTCTAGCCCCAAACATTTATGGTACCAAAGCTGAGAAACCCTGATCTAGAAAGTTCCAGAATGAATATTTCATTTGCAAGAGATAAAGCATCCACCACACAAAAAACACCATCTTCAGCAGGCTCCCCTTCATAGGGGGATCTCACCACGACCACCCTCTATTCCCGGGCAGGAGGAGGAAGCCAAGGCAGGCTGGGCCCCGTTTCCCCATGGGCTTCTCTGGAGACACACCAAGCTCTGGGCAGCTGCTCACCGGGAGTAGTTGGGGATGGTGCCGTGGCCTGCAGCATCCTTCATGGTGTAGGGGTTCACGCGGTGGGCGTGCCAGCAGCTGTGGCCCTGGAACATGGTGTCGGTGACGTGCAGGACCTCATTGCAATGCACCTGCAGCTCCCCCTTGGCCCTCCCCTCCATGGCCAGGTTGACCCGGATGTAGAATGAATCCCCTGAGGTCACCGCTTTGGCCTCCAGGTCCTGGAGCAGCTTCTTATAACCTGATAAAAGGGAACATGAACCACAAATGAGCTGCAGATGCAAGTCCCCCCTCGAGGAAGGTTGCAGAACACGAAAGTCACAAAGAAGGAAGGACCCTGCCCCAGCCTCAGACGCCACTCTGGCGTTGGAGTCAGTGAGTGGAAGGTTTCCAGCTGGCTTGGGGGCCTCCCAGGGACCTGGGGCACAGCCTGGCTGATCCTCTCCTGGACCCTGGGTGCTGGGCATGCAGAGAAGCCAGGGACCCAAGGGTCACGGAGACTGGCCAGGCAGCTGTGCACTCGAGAGGGGTGGCGTGTGTACCGTCCATGTTGACCTTCACAGACAGGCAGCAGAAGCCGTCCACCCTCCCGAGAAGCCCCACGGCCTGCTCCAGGGTTGTGTCCTCCAGGACTGCCTTGAACAAGGGCTCTGAGGCTTCGTGATCAACCTGAGGGCAAGTCGAGAAGGTCAGTCTCTTTCTCCTAGGACTCTGAATCCAGCCGGGACATGGAGGGCACTCAGGGCACTAAGGCGAGGCCTGCACTCCTTGACTAAAACAAAGCTGCACCACAGAGCCTCTGCGGGGTCTTCCAGCGTCTCCTGATGCATGCTACACACATTCCTGGCCAGAGAGTCAACTGCCAACTCTTCCCCAACCCTTCCACTGCTGAGGTCGGGGTTTCTTTGTGATAAGCACTTTCCTCTCTTGAAAGAAAAAAAAGAAAGGACCTCAGTTCTAGAACATTCAAGAGCATTCTAGATAGGGGTTTCTCAGCCTTGAGGTCATACTGCGTTGCTGCAGGCTGTCGTGGGCCCTATAGGCTGCTGAGTGGCATACCTGGCCTTCACCCCACCAATGCCATGGCTGTCCCACCCATAGCCTGCCCCACTGTGAAGGCCCACCCTGCAGAGCTTCCGCTGTCCACTTCATTTCTTGTCAACATTGTTCTAAGAGTAGATATTTTTTATGATAAAAAAAATTAAGATGTGTTTTAACACCATTAAAACTGAATTGGTCCCCTTAGGATACTGGGACTATCTCCCTGAACATTGTAAAGGTGCTCCGTTGCTTGAACTACCACATAGCTGGTAACTGGGAAACCTTAGAGCAGGGGTCCCCAATGTCTGGGCCACAGACTAGTACTGGCCCACGGTCTGTTAGGACCCCAGCCACACAGCAGGAGGGGAGGGGTGGGCAAGTGAGCATTGCGGCCTCAGCTCCACCTCCTGTCTGATCAGCACAGCATTAGATTCCCACAGGAGCCTGGACCCTACTGTGAACAGCGCATGTCAGGGATCTAGGTTGTGTGTTCCTTATGAGAATCTAATGCCTGATGATCTGTCACTGTCTCTCGTCACCCCCAGATGAGACCATCTGCAGGAAAACAAGCTCAGGGCTCCTGCTGATTCTGAATTATGATACAGTATATAATTATTTCATTATATGTTACAGTGTAATAATAATAGAAATAAAGTGCACAATAAATTGAATGCACTTGAACTATCCCCAAACAATCTCCCCCTCCCCGGTCAGTGGAAAAGTTGTCTTCCATGAAGCCGGTCCCTGGTGCCAAAAAGTTTGGGGACAGCTGCTTAAGAAGATGGTTAGAAATGCAAAGAAGGGCCGGGTGTGGTGGCTGACACCTGTAATCCCAGCACTTTAGGAGGCTGAGGCTGGTAGATCACTTGAGGTCAGGAGTTTGAGACTAGCCTGGCCAACATGGTGAAACGCTTTCTCTACTAAAAATACAAAAATTAGCCGGGCGTGGTGGCACACACCTGTAATCCCAGCTACTTGGAAGACTGAGGCAGGAGAATCGCCTGAAACCAGGAGGTGGAGGTTGCAGTGAGCTAAGATTGTGCCACTGCACTCCTGGGCAACAGAGTGAGAGTCTGTCTCAAAAAAAAAAAAAAAAAAAAGAGAGAGAGGACTATAAAGAAGGGCTTTCTGGGTTGAGTGGAGGGGAGACCACAGGAGGACACTTGCCTTAGGAGCTCCATGTGCTATTGTTTGAGCCCTGGGGGAGCTCGGCATTTGGACAGCCTGTTCCAAGTGGGCAGCGAGGGGTGCGTGGAACACTCCTGTCACTGTCTCTCATCAGCCCCAGAGGAGACAAGGGGTTCAGCCCCATCCTCTCCCCGCCTCTGTGCTCAACTTCCCTCCCAGACCCCCATCCGCAGTCCCCTCCTGGGGCCACAGGCTGAGCCTCTGGGGTAAGGTGAAGCCCATCTTGCACATCTCTTGGTTTAAATTGATTTTCATACTAAGAAAGCACTGGGCTTTCCTTTTTCTTTCCTTTCCTTTCTTTTTTTTTTTGAGGCAGGGTCTTGCTCTGCTGCCCAGGCTCAAGTGCAGTGGTGCAATCATAGCTCACAGCAGTCTCCACCTCCTGGGCTCAGCCATCTGAGTAGCTAGGACTGTAGGCATGCATCACTGTGCCCAGAAGTATTTTCTTTTCTTGTCTTTTCTTTGAGACAGAGTCTTGCTCTGTCACCCAGGCTGCAGTGCAGTGGCCTGGGCTCACTACAACCTCTGCCTCCTGGGTTCAAGCGATTCTCCTGCCTCAGCCTCCTGAGTAGGTGGGACTACAGGCATGTGCCACCACGCCCAGCTAACTTTTGTACTTTTAGTAGAGACAGGGTTTCTCCATGTTGGTCAGGCTAGTCTCAAACTCCTGACTTCATGATCCGCCCACCTCGGCCTCCCAAAGAGCTGGGATTACAGGAGTGAGCCACCTCATCCAGCAAGTATTTCTCTTTTTTTGGCTTAAAGTTTAATCTGCTTTTAGGCAACATCAAAGTCACCCTCTCTGCCCATGTATCACTAATAATTAGTTAGGCTGTACTTTTTTCTTTTTCCTTTTGAGATGGAGTCTCACTCTGTCACCCAAGCTGGAGTGCAGTGGTGTGATTTAGGCTCACCGCAACCTCTGCTTCCTGGGCTCAAGTGATTCTTCTGCCTCAGCCTCCCAAGTAGCTGGGATTACAGGTGCCCACCAACACACCTGGCTAATTTTTGTATTTTTTGTAGACACAAGGTTTTGCCATGTTGGCCAGGCTGCTCTTGAACTCATGACCTCAAGTGATTTGCCTACGTTGGCCTCCCAAAGTGCTGAGTTTACAGGCATGAGCCGCCGCACACGGCCAGGTTGTACATTTGTGCCCATTTATCTTCTTAGCAGTTTTGTGCATTTTATAACCACAAAAAACAGTTTTAGAAAATGCCCCCAAATTAGCTGGGCATGGTAGCGCATGCCTGTGCTCTGGTCCCAGCTACTTAAGAGGCTGAGGACAAAGAAAGGAACAAAAACAACCGGAAAAAAAAAAAAAAAACCAGAAAGGAAAAAATAAAAGAAATGCCCCAGTGGTTAAAATAGTGAACTTTATGTCACGTGTTTTTTACTGCACACATCCAAAGTGACCACCCTCTGTGGGTGACAGCCCTGTCAAGGGACCTCATGCAAAGACCCCTGGTCAGAAGCGCTGCATGGCAGCAGCCACCGTGGGTGACGTACTGGGTTCCCCATGGCGTGACTCTCATCTATAAATGAGCAGAATGCTTTACAGCAGCCCAGTAAAGAGCACGGGCCCAGCCCAGAGTCGATCTGCACCGTCTGGGCATCTGAAGCCTGCCTGAGTCACCCCACCTGCTGCTGTTGACCCCATGGGGAGGCAGGAGGAGCCTCGCCTGGCTCACCATCACGATCTGGGTGCCTGGGCGCAAAGCCATCTGGTCCGCCGCTGAGCCCGGGGTGACCCGGTGGATGAAGATGCCTGTGAAGTTGCCGCCGATGATGCTGATCTGCTCCAGCAGTGCATCCCCCTGGAACGCCAGCACCGTGACCTGGCTCAGGATCCTGCGGGCCAGCCTCCGCCTCATGAGCATGCTGCTGCAGGCCGGGAAATAACCGGCTTGTGCGCTACCCAGAGCAGGAGAGCTGGCAAGGCCACCTCCCCATTGCTTCCTACCAGCCCCAGCATTCTGGAATTCTGCTGCATGGCCCCACGCACATGGAAAGGCTGTCGCCTCCCAATGGCAATAGAACAATCACCCTTTACTCTGCCACTCCCTGGCCCTGGTTCCTAGCCAGCGTTGGAGGATTCCCACCTGCTGCTTACCTCTCCGAGACATCCAGGCTTCCAGCGGAGAATGGCTGCAGGCTGCTTTCTAGCTGGGGAAGGTCTGGGAGGAAGCAAGAGCTTACAGATCTTGGTCACCCCACTGTTAATGGGGCCTCCTGTAACCTGCTATGACCTCGCCCCTTCTCCCTCAGCCTCAGGCCCCCACCCTGCCACCTGTTCCATCCTCTTTGCTGAGGCTGTTTTCTCTTCCTCCACCGCTTCCTCAATGCTTGGGACCCTGATTTCATTTTCCTAAAATCACTGTAACTAGTGGGAGCTGTAACTGGGAGGGTCTGAACACCACATGCTGTTTTCCGATATTTGGATGAGTTGCCAACATTTAAAAGATAGGGAGATTTTGCCTTAAATCTGGATTTCTGGCTTCACTTGAAAAAAAATCTGCTGTAACCCTGGGGTCGCCTTTCTGCACTGATCTGCATTTCTGCACGGGCATTGAGCTCCATGTCTACACGGGCCTGCATTTCTGTACTGACCTACATTTCTGCACTGACCTGTATTTCTGTACTGGCCTGCATTTCTGCACGGGCCTGTATTTCTGCACTGACCTGTATTTCTGTACTGACCTACATTTCTGCACTGACCTGTATTTCTGTACTGACCTACATTTCTGCACTGACCTGTATTTCTGTACTGACCTGTATTTCTGTACTGACCTACATTTCTGCACTGACCTGTATTTCTGCACTGACCTGTATTTCTGTACTGACCTGCATTTCTGCACTGACCTACATTTCTGCACTGACCTGTATTTCTGTACTGACCTGTATTTCTGCACTGACCTACATTTCTGCACTGACCTGTATTTCTGTACTGACCTACATTTCTGCACTGACCTGTATTTCTGTACTGACCTGCATTTCTGTACTGACCTGTATTTCTGCACTGACCTGTATTTCTGTACTGACCTGCATTTCTGCACTGACCTACATTTCTGCACTGACCTGTATTTCTGTACTGACCTGTATTTCTGCACTGATCTACATTTCTGCACTGACCTGTATTTCTGTACTGACCTGTATTTCTGCACTGACCTACATTTCTGCACTGACCTGTATTTCTGTACTGACCTACATTTCTGCACTGACCTGTATTTCTGTACTGACCTGCATTTCTGTACTGACCTGTATTTCTGCACTGACCTGCATTTCTGTACTGACCTGCATTTCTGCACTGACCTGTATTTCTGCACTGACCTGCATTTCTGCACTGACCTGTATTTCTGCACTGACCTGTATTTCTGCACTGACCTGCATTTCTGCACTGACCTGCATTTCTGCACTGACCTGCATTTCTGCACTGACCTGCATTTCTGCACTGACCTGCATTTCTGCACTGACCTGCATTTCTGCACTGACCTGCATTTCTGCACTGACCTGCATTTCTGCACTGACCTGCATTTCTGTACTGACCTGCATTTCTGTACTGACCTGCATTTCTGTACTGACCTGTATTTCTGCACTGACCTGCATTTCTGCACTGACCTGTATTTCTGCACTGACCTGTATTTCTGCACTGACCTACATTTCTGCACTGACCTGCATTTCTGCACTGACCTGCATTTCTGCACTGACCTGTATTTCTGCACTGACCTGCATTTCTGCACTGACCTGTATTTCTGTACTGACCTGTATTTCTGCACTGACCTACATTTCTGCACTGACCTGTATTTCTGTACTGACCTGTATTTCTGCACTGACCTGTATTTCTGCACTGACCTGCATTTCTGCACTGACCTACATTTCTGCACTGACCTGCATTTCTGCACTGACCTGCATTTCTGCACTGACCTGCATTTCTGCACTGACCTGTATTTCTGCACTGACCTGCATTTCTGCACTGACCTGCATTTCTGCACTGACCTGCATTTCTGCACTGACCTGCATTTCTGCACTGACCTGCATTTCTGCACTGACCTGTATTTCTGCACTGACCTGCATTTCTGCACTGACCTGCATTTCTGCACTGACCTGTATTTCTGCACTGACCTGCATTTCTGCACTGACCTGTATTTCTGTACTGACCTGTATTTCTGCACTGACCTGTATTTCTGCACTGACCTACATTTCTGCACTGACCTACATTTCTGCACTGACCTGCATTTCTGCACTGACCTGTATTTCTGTACTGACCTGTATTTCTGCACGGGCCTGCATTTCTGCATGGGCCTGCATTTCTGCACTGGCCTGCATTTCTGCAAGGGCCTGCATTTCTGCAAGGGCCTGCATTTCTGCACGGGCCTCAATTTCTGTACTGGCCTCCATTTCTACACAGGCCTGCATTTCTGCACTGACCTGCATTTCTGCATTGAGCTCCATGTCTACATGGGCCTCAATTTCTGTACTGGCCTGCATTTCTGCACAGGGCCTGTGCTTCTGCACAGGCCTGCATTTCTGCACTGGCCTGCATGTCTGCATTGGACTCCATGTCTGCATGGGTCTGTGCTGGCCTGCATTTCTACACAGGCCTGCATTTCTGCACTGATCTGCATTTCTGGGTGCAGCAATCACTGCACTGGCCAGCGGCTGCCTGCTGTTTACCCCAGACCACTCCACTTCCCAGCTGGCAAAAGCAGGTCTCTGAGTTGTCAATCCTGGGACTAAAGGCTCCCAGAATCTCCGAAGCTCTCGCATTTTACTATGCGGCCTGTGAGCCCCTGAGAGCCAGGGAGCAGCCTGCCAGGGTCTACGGCAGGAAGTCTCACTCTGTGGCCCACACAGGAGAACCAGGGCCAGCAGAGACCAAAGAGTTCCCTAGGCCTGGCTCACAGGCAGAATCCCATTGTGATCACATTCAAAGCCAATGAAACGAGGTGTGTACTCCCAATGTATCTGAGGTCAATTCCGCTAAAAATATATGCAACCAGGACATCATGCAGAATGCTCGCAGAGGAAAAATACAGAGGAATAAGCCCTCCCTTCTCATCTCACGCCTAATTTAGATATGCCTTGGATGGACTCTCTGGATTTATCACTGTTATAAATAAAAATGTGTATGAGTCTCCAAAGGGGAAGGTTTCTGATCACACGACCCACAGAAGGCAGAGGGGCAGTGTGGAGTGGGCAGCGCAGGGCACTGGTGGCGACGGGGTGAATTCCAGGTGGGGAGCAAAGCACCTACTGTGTGCTGAGGCAGAAAGGCTAAGGCACCCACCTGTGATGGGCCCATGGACTTGGGACAGAGAGAAGCCTGGTTCAATCACAAAGAAATGAAACACAGGAGAAGCGCGAGGCCTCAGGGCCAGCACCTGAGAGGAGAGGGGCTCCCGTCGGGGAGATGCCACTCTGTGCCTCGCCTCAGCCAGGCACCATGAAGCGACCCTGCCTGCTGCCTCCTGAAACCACTGGGAAGCCCAAGCGTCTCCATAAATCAGAGCAGGGTGCTGGGTGCTGAGCAGGGTGTAGGTCAAACACAACTCCCCCAGCTCTAGGGAAAAACACAAGGACACCAGCAAGCAGAGCACAGCCAGGCTCTGGGTTATGCTGTCTGGCAGGCAGGACTTTCCCAAAACGCAAGGGTGAGGCCAAGGTCAAGGCCCAGGGCAGACACTGACCTCTGCTTCTATCTGTCCTTTCCCTGGGGAGAAGCCCTGGCTGTCTCATCAGCTCCCTGCTCTGCCAGGGGGAGGCGGCCTGCTGTGGAGGTTCAGGGTTGGGCGCACTTACCTGCCCCATCTAGGACCTCATAATCCAGGTCTGTGTCACCCGCCTTCGTTCCTGGCGGGGCTCCAAGGCCTACTTCTGGAATCTCCAGGCAGCTGCTGCAAAGCATGAGAAGCTGCAGGCTCAAACTGCATCACCTGCTCCCTCTGAGTCCCCACACCCCAAGCAGTGGCTGCCCAGCAGCTGCCAGCTCCGGGGCTTCAAGGGCAGGAGCTGCTGCCTATAATATGCAGATGCCCTGAGGTCTAGGCTGGTTTCTCTGGTGAGTAGCCAGGAAGGACCCCAGTACCACATGTTCTACCTGAAAGACCAGGGTTCTTCCCCGAAGTCCTCGGCCAACCGCTTGTACAGGGACTGCTGGCTGGGGGGCACAGGGCTCCTAGAGCGGAAGCTGTCCACCAGCTCGCGGCTGGATGTGGCGCTCAGGTCTGACCAGAGCTGAGACTGGAGGAGGGAGGGCAGAGGTCAGCGGGGCATGCAGGAGGACATCCCAAGACTCCTCCCTTGTTCCCCCATGGTGTAGAGAGAGAGCCACAGTGAGAACTGTGGAAAGGAGGCAGCAGGAGGGGAAGGAAGGGCAAACCCGGGAGGCATATGCGCTGAGCGCCTGCTGTATACCAGGCACTCTATTAGCTGCTTGGCTTAGTTCCCATAATAAATCTGTAAGGTGGCACTACTGCCCCATTTAACATGTAAAGTGATGTGGCTTGGCTGTTGGGCTGGGTGCAGTGGCTCAAGCCTGTAATCCCAGTACTTTGGGAGGCTGAGGCCAGCAGATTATTTGAGGTCAGAAGTTTAAGACCAGCCTGGCCAACATGTTGAAACCCTGTCTCTAATAAAAATATAAAAAGTAGCTGGGCGTGGTGGTGGGCACCTGTTATTCCAGCTACTTGGGTGGCTGAGGCAAGAGAATCTCTTGAACCTGGGAGGTGGAGGTCACAGTGAGCTGAAATTGTACCACTGCACTCTAGCCTGGGTGACACAGGAGACTCTGTCTCATAAAATAAGGGCTGGGCATGGTGGCTGATGCCTATAATCCCAGCACTTTGGGAGGCCAAGGTGGATGGATCACCTTGGGAGTTCCTGACCAACTTGGAGAGCAGCCTGACCAACATGGAGAAACCCATTATCTACTAAAAATACAAAATTAGCTGGGTGTGGTGGTGGGTGCCTGTAATTCCAGCTACTCTGAAGGCTGACGCAGCAGAATCGCTTGAACCCAGGAGGCATAGGTCGCGGTGAGCTGAGAACACACTGTTGCACTCCAGCCTGAGCAACAAGAGTGAAACTCCGTCTCAAAAAAAAAAAATAATAATAAAATAAAATAAAACTCTCCTAATTGCACCAACCTCTTCCCTGTGGGGACAGGGTAGAAGGAGGCCCACTTTTATCCTGATAGAGGTCGGCCCTGCGCTGGCCCAGAAGGTCAAGACAGTGAGGGCAGCCCTACCTCTAAGGAGCTGGTGAGGCTGCAGTGGCTGTCGTCTCTGGGGCCAATGGCATGCCTCCTCACCAGCCGCTGCTTCTCCCTCGTACAGGGCTCCCTGGTCCTGGCTTCCTGCTTGTGCTGCCAGAGACAGGCCAGACAGGTCGGTTAATTCAGGAAAGGTTCCCCTTTGAGGCCCGTGGGGTTTCTGCTGGGTCAGCACCACCTGTCCGGCCCTCCAGCAGTTTCCTCTCATCAGCTTCCAGGGAAAACAATCTATCCCCGTCCTCCTAGCCCGGGGCCAGCATCACAGGCGCTGGCAATCAACAGGACCAAGAGAAACCAGTTGGACACACAGCATTTCGTTTCTTTTAGAATATGTGTGATCTACTAGTTGTACAAATAATACATAATACACACACACACACACACACACACACACACACACACACATACATACACAAATACAGAAAACTGGAGGAAGGCAAGAAGGACCAGTTAGAAAAAAAGTAAAATCCACCCGTCTCCCCACACTCAGAATGAGCACGGCCTGTGTGTTGGTGCCTGCCCTGGGAGGGTTTTTCTCTGTGTAAACACGTGTGTTTTCACTGTCAATGTGGGATGATGGCTGTGCAGGGGGTGAGGGAGGAAGGGGGGTGGGCCCTGCAGGGCGAGGGAGGAAGGGGGGTGGGCACTGCCGGGTGAGGGAGGAAGGGGGCGGGCACTGCAGGGTGGGGGAAGAGGGGGTGGTGGGCACTACAGGGTGAGGGAGGAAGAGGGGTGGGCTCTGCAGGGTGAGGGAGGAGGTGGTGGTGGGCACTACAGGGTGGGGGAGGAAGGGGGTGGGCACTGCAGGGTGAGGGAGGAAGCGGGGTGGGCTCTGCATGGTGAGGGAGGAAGGGGGTGGGCTCTGAAGGGTGAGGGCAGAAGGGGGGTGGGCTCTGCAGGGTGAGGGAGGAAGGGGGGTGGGCTCTTCAGGATGAGGGAGGAAGGGGGTGGGCTCTGCAGGGTGAGGGAGGAAGGGGGTGGGCTCTGCAGGGTGAGGGAGGAAGTGGGGTGGGCACTGCAGGGTGGGGGAAGAGGGGGTGGTGGGCACTACAGGGTGAGGGAGGAAGGGGGGTGGGCACTGCAGGGTGAGGGAGTAGGGGGGTGAGCCCTACAGGGCGAGGGAGGAAGGGTAGGGCCTGTGCATGTGGAGGGCAGGGGCTACCTGTGCTTCCTGGGGGGCTTGGAGCTGGAGCTGCCCACCAGCCCATGTGAGAGGCGTCCTAAATATCCCAGCTGTCTGGGAACAGGCTCCCTCCGTTACGCATAGGTCTTTCCACTCTCGGACGGGCGTTCGGCTTTTAAGCATTTCAGGAATGCAGCATCTACACTGCAAATGGCTGCCTGTGGACAGCTTCAAACACTGCCTTCCACATCCGTCACCACACTCGAAAGGCTCCAGAACCTACTGCTAAGCTCCCCCGTCTATGACACAGGTGCTCTTGTCATTGAAGACACAGAAGCAGACTCTACTTGTCCACTGGATACCCTCAAGGTTTCACAGCGCCATCCACTCGTGGGAGCCAGTGTGTCAGTCAGCCTGGTGACACTGGGCCATCTCTGCAGGGGCCCCGTGTGGCCCAGCCTGGGATGCTGCCTGTCCTCCCAATGCCTGCCTGGGTCTTCCTGGGGCCTGGCTCTGTCCCAGTGTCCCCACAGCCCCTGCCTGGCCTCCAGCTGGGGCCAGCCAGAAGTACTCACCGCACCCGGAGGCTCTGCCTGCAGCTGGTGGAGCTGTGTGCGCAGTTCACAGACCTGGGCCGTCAGCTCAAACACCTGCCGGCGGAGGGCGTCCTTCTCCACCAGGCTCTGGGAAATCTCCCTCTGAGCACTGTCCCTCGAAGAGTACGCCTGTGGGCCAGGATAACGGTGGTAAGGAGGCCATGCCATCCCCACCAGGGAGTCTCGGCTAGAGAGAGCCCTGTTTCTAGCCTGCGCTCATCTATCGTGCACTTAACCTTCAGGATAGCTTTTTTATGATACCAAGCCCACTGTTATTTGACACCATGGCTAACTCATACCTTGTAACCTGTCCTTAGGTAACCAAGAGTCAAAAAATTAGTCATTCAAAAAGTAAATGTATGAACTATCAATCTGTTTCCCTTTACGGCCCTAAATGGCCCACACCGACCTGTGCAAACTTACAGTTCATCTCTATTCATGTTCACGTGTGCAGTTTTAATACAACCCAATATTTGGGGTGCACGTTCTCAGTATCATGTGACAGTAATAAGAGCAGGGAGGATGACAGAGAGTGTGTGGACAACGAGGGTGGGGGAGTGAAAAAACTTCGTGTTGACTGAGGAGAGAGACCCTGAAATCTGAGACCAGCTGCCATCAGGGAGCCGAGAGACTGTCCCCTGAGCCAGCCCTTGCCTGGGAAAGCAAGCGTGGGGTGGCGGGGCGGGCCCGGCCTCTCAGGTACCTGGTCACGCTCCTTTTGCAGCCCGGACACCTGGGTCTGCAGCGCGTTCACCTTCTCCCTGTAGAGCTGGCAGGTCATCTTACTCTTCTGGAACTGCAGCAGCGTCTGCTCCTTCTCTTCCCAGTACTGGACAGAGGGAGACGTGGTCCGTGGAGCTGAGAAGCTCTGAGGGTCTGGGCTGAGGAGGGGGTGGGGGAGCCCAGGGGCAGGAGGGAGGTGGTTCCTGGGATGAAATAGGTGAATTCATACTTGTCTCTTTTTTTTTGAGACAGAGACTCGCTGCGACATTGTCCAGGCTGGAGTGCAATGGCATGATCTCGGCTCACTGCAACCTCTGCTTCCTGGGTTCAAGTGATTCTCATGCCTCAGCCTCCCTAGTAGCTGGGATTACAGGCACATACCACCACGCCTGGCTAATTTTTGTATTTTTGGTAGACACAGGGTTTCAACATATTGGCCAGGCTGATCTCGAACTCCTGACCTCAAGGGATCTGCCTGCCTTGGCTTCCCAAAGTGCTGATACAGGCATGGGCCACCATGCCTGGCTTTGCTCATCTCTTAAGTGCTAGATTTCAAGACGCATCTAGAAAGTTGCTTAGGCTGATTATATGTGAATTTCCTCATTAAAACAATGCATGTCTGTTGCATGCATAATTGTGCTTTGCTTTCTTAATGTCCCCAAAAAACAATTTCCCCTGCCTGTCCTCTTCTTTTTCACCATCTCCTCTCCTCCCTGTTCCCTCCTCACCTAAGTCTCTGGCTCTCCTGCGGTGCCTAGGCCCTGCAATCCCCTCATCTGCCTGACCATGGTCTTAGCCATGGGCTGCAAGCCCGTGCTCAGTGTGGTGCTGACAAAGGAACAGGTGAGCGGGCCAACAGATTTGTTCAGCAAAATTCTGTGAGCTCGGTGTGCATGAAGGAATCTGGCTTCCCCACAGACCTGCCCCCGCCCCTGGGACAAGCGCCAGGAGGCTTGCAAGGGAGGAAGGGGCCGCACTGCACCTGCTCTCGCTGTCTCTCCGCAGCCACAGCCCTCTCCCTCAGGGAGGGAATGCGCTCCACCAGCTCCTGGCGGCTCCCCCGCGCCTCATCCAGGCTCTGTTCCAGAATGTCCTTCTCCGCCTGGGGCAGATAGAGGTCAGCTTGGGGTGCTGGCTTCCCCAGAGGCCTGCCCTGGGCAAGCAGAACCTGGAGAATACGGCGGCAACCTCACGGCCAGGTGTGTGAATGGATGCAGCCTTACTGCTGTACACCAGGCAGGAGAAAAACCACAGAAAAGTCGCCAGTCGTGCCTGGGAAAGCTGCACATCTACCGCCAAGCGGAGAGGCCGGCTCTCAGGATAACAGTTCCTCCCCTTACCAGCTCAGCCTTCGCCTTAAACAGGGCTGCAGCATTTCACAGAGAGGGAGAAACCAACAGGTCGTTCCCCTCTGACACTCACTTCCCAGGAAGGAGCTCATAAAAGGAACACAAGCCAGGCTGCAAGCTGGATGGTGCCTGGGCCCAGTGAATGCTTGTGGAAGGGATATCTCAATAAATACTAATCTATTGAGAGGGGCCGGGGAGGAGAAGCCCAATGTCCTTGCTCACTCATTGTTCTGCTTCAGAAGCCCTGCCCTCCAGTGCACGTGAAGGCCAGAGGGCGCAATCTTTCCAGGCAGAAAGGTTTCTTGCCCCATGCTTAACGTGAATCCCGTGGTTTACAACTGGCCCAGTCCACTCCGGAACACAACAGCAGCAGTAAACCTGCCGAGTGGGGGCACTGCGATACACCGCCAGCAGCTTTTATTTTTATGATTTTTATGTATTTATTTATTCTTGAGATGGAGTTTTGCTTTTGTTGCCCAGGCTGGAGTGCAGTGGCACAATCTCAGCTCACTGCAACCTCCGCCTCCCAGGTGCAAGCGATTCTCCTGCCTCAGCCTCCCTAGTAGCTGGGATTACAGGTGCAGACCGCCACCATGCCTGGCTACTTTTTTGTATTTTTAGTAGAGACAGGGTTTTGCAATGTTGGCCAGGCTGGTCTTGAATTCCTGACCTCATGATCTGCTTGCCTTGGCATCCCAAAGTGCTGGGATTACAGGCGTGAGCCACCACACCTGCCTTTTTATTTTAATTTTTTTGAGACAGCGTCTCCCTCCGTCACCCAGGCTGGAGTGCAGCAGTGCGATCTCAGCTCACTGCAGCCTGAAATTACCAGGGTCAAACGATCCTCCCACCTCAGCCTCCTGAGTAGCTGGGACCACAGGTGTGCACCACCATGCCAAGCTACTTTTTGTATTTTTTGTAGAGATGGGGTCTCGCCATGTTGCCCAGGCTGGTCTTGAACTCCTGGGCTTAAGTGATCCACCTATCTTGGCCTCCCAAAGTGCTAGAATTACAGGCCTGAGCCACCACGCCCAGTTCTAGCTTTTAATTAATTCTGCCAACGTTTTGGGGTCTGGGGAACAGCAGGAAGGAAGGTGGTAAAAAGAAAGTGGGTGAGATGAGTCACTAAATTTCACCTCCCATCCTTAGCCTCCCCTTAATTAAACCACCCGTCAGAAACTCCACAGTCTGGGGATCAAGCACCCAAGGCGGAGGCTGCTCTCTGCTGGGGGGGCCAGAACTTACCAGGCTGAAAGTCAGTGAGCGTAGTTTCTCATTCTCCTCCTTCAGGCGGTTCAGCTCCTTGTCCCCAGACTCCAGGTCACTGGCCATCCTCAGGGACCGCTCCTGCAATTCCAGCTCGCAGGAGGAAACCATGTTGACTCGCTGCAGCTCCTGCTTCAGTAGATACAGCTGTGCAGGGAGAAGGCGACAGGAAGGCTGGTGAAAACCTTCCTGTCCCAGGTGGGTTTCTCACCCTTCCTCCTAATGATGACGCTTTTCACACTCAGGGGGCTTCCCGCCCTGAGACTGAAAAACCCATGAAAGGGTTTACCTAATGAATGGTTCCAAACTGGGAGGACAGAGGCCTTTCAGCTCTATTTTATAGATGAGGCACAGTGGTTGAACTACGTAAGGGGTTAGGGTCCTAAGAATAGACCAAGGGGACTTGATAACCAACTTCTGGGTCTCCACAGCTGAGCAGCCAGTAGTGATGGCCAGCAAGCTCCCTGACTTCCCTGCTTGTCCATATTCTGCCAATACATCAATAAAGGAAATGTGGAAGTAAGAAGTAAGAGAGAGGAAAGTCAGGTCCGGCAGTGGTAGAGGTGCCTGGGAACGTAGAACTGGGGCTATTTGGACAGCAAAGTCCCTGTTCTGACTTGCAATATGTGTGCAGGGCCCTGGCCTTCCAGAAACTATCCAGCCAGGTCCTGCTGGCCTCCTTCCTCTGGACAATAGCCCAAGAGAAACTTGGAGCTCCAGCAATGGGCCTGGGGAGACAGCACTTTCCCCATAAAGCAAGCCTGGGAAGTCTGCACGGTGGGATGGATGCTGGCGCTCACCCCTGGGCTGCAGCCAGTAAGAACCTTTCTACCTGGACCCTTCCCTCCAGACACTGGGTTAGCACATTCTCAATTCGCAATTACCCAGTTCCTGCAATGGGCCAGCTGGGCTGGGTCTGTCACAGTCTACATGTTCAAAAAGTAAAATTAAGTCAGAACTGGAAGAGAACAGGAAAACGTGGGACTGAAAGTGAACCAGAACAAATGAACTGAATTCTATTTCTAACAGTTGCTATAACCACAGTGAAGAGAGACAGACAGACAGAGACATGGACAGAGAGTGAAGCTTCAGTGAGTCATGGGCACAGTGTTTGATTACAAGCCCTCAGCCATGAGCAAGCTTGGGTGGTGGGAGGAGGCGAATGACAAAAGAATCCAGAACTCGTCTTGGTGTGCCTGGTAATGGCAGTGGTATGGGCAGAGTGATTCTGAAATGACTGGAGATGTTCTGCAGGCCTGAGGTGCTGGTGACGCTGGGAGCAGGGTTCCCACTGGGGAAGGGGCACACATGCACGGAATGGGAGAAGGCAAGAAAAAGCTGTGGGGCATGGCTTGGAATTAGAGGTATGTGTGAGAACTCATGATTTCTGAAGTATGCACATGTACTATATGTATACTTGCATGTGTATGAGTATTTGTGTGTATGTATTTATATACGTGTATGTGTGTTTCCTAGCTCTGTCCCCTGAAAGGGGTGAGAAGCAAAGATACCCCAGTAGTGATGGGCATACCTACGCCCAGATCTTGTTCTCTAAAAGGAGGCAGGAGGCAGGGCACGGTGGCTCACGCCTGTAATCCCAACACTGTGGGAGGCCGAGGCGGGCAGATCGCCTGAGCTCAGGAGTTTGAGACCAGCCTGGCCAAGATAGCAAAACCCTGTCTCTACTAAAAGTACAAAAAAATTAGCTGGGCATGGCGGTGCATGCCTGTAATCTCAGCTGCTCGGGAGGCTGAGGCAGGAGAACTGCTTGAACCCGGAAGACGGAGTTCACAATGAGCTGAGATGGTGCCACTATACTCCAGCTTGGATGGCAGAGTGAGACTTTGTCTCGAAAAAACAAACCAAAAAATAAAAATAAAATAAAAGGAAGCAGGGCCCTCAGAGAATGAGCTGAGCCTGGATTTGGGGTAGGCCAGGTACAAGGTGATCCTGGAATATCTTGTGAGGCCAGAAAAAAAGTTGGTGCTCCAAAAACAAGGGGCCTGTCTCAGGACACGGAGCTGGTTGAAGGGCTCCATTGGTCACATCTGGGTCAATCTGAGCTCCAAAGTCATTAAGGACAGTGATAGGCTAGACCCCTGCAGAGTGGGAACCCACGAACTGCACCAAGAACAGATTCAGCCATGGGAGAAGGGAAGACAGAGGCCGCGGGCAGCAGCAAAGTGGGGCACTGTCGTGGTCATTATTCACAGCCGCCAGGAGGCCAGCTCCAGCCAGAGTCGCCACAGCTACGTCCCAGGAAATGTCCACCAGGAGCAGGCACTTGCTGGTCTGCACCCCACACCCAAGATGCTTACCAGTTGCAGGGAGGGAAAGAAACAGCCATTCTACTACGGTAGGGAAACTGGGCAATTCTACAGTAGAGAAACCTTGACAAGTGGTGGACGGTGACCTCCCCTGCGAGGGGCGAGGGGACCTCCAGAGCTTTTGCAGGAGGCCCTGAGTCGGGCCAGCACCCCCTGTGCAGGGTCCCTGCCAAAGAAGCATCACTTCTGTCTACTTGTGGGGAAACATAAGACCAACCCCAAATGAGACACAGTCTATCATCAAAGGGAAGGGGTGGGGTCTTCAAAGAGACAAAGAGAGGCTGTGGGATGCTCCCAACTGAAGGGGGCGAGAGAGAGCAACAGCGGAACGGAGGGCCCCACCCTGGGCTGGGGGGAAGGCTGTAAAGGATTCACTGGGACAAATGATAAAACCCAAACACAGACAGATTAGATAAAAACATACGAAAAAGACTGAAGTTGAGAACTGCACTGTGGCTATCTAGTAGAATGTGCTTATTTTCAGGAAACAGACATTGAAGGGTTTGGTGGGGGTAAAGGGCCACGACAGGGTAAATAAAAGTACAAATAATAAAGCACGGGTCGGTGGGCATTCTTTGCTCTATTTTCTTTTTTTCTTTCTTTCTTTCATTTTGAGACAGGGTCTTGCTCTGTCGCCCATGCTGCAGTGCAGTGGCACCATCTCAGCTCACTGCAACCTCTGCCTCCCAGCTTGAGCCTCTCGAGTAGCTGGGACTACAGGTGCGCACCACCATACCTGGCTAATTTTTGCATTTTTAGTAGAGATGAGGTTTCACCATATTGGCTAGGCTGGTCTTAAACTCCTGACCTCGTGTTCCACCCACCTTGGCCTCCCAAAGTGCTGGGATAACTGGCATGAGCCACTATGACTGGCCTCTTTGTATTAACTTTGTGTTATTTAAAAAATAAATTTGAAATAATTTCTAAATAGAAGTAAAAAATTAAAACAAACAACAAATGCCATTATTAAAAGCAAAACACTGACCAGCACAGTTGCTCATGCCTGTAATCCCAGCACTTTGGGAGGCCGAGGTGGGAGGATCACTTGAGCCCAAGAGTTCGAGACCAGCCTGGGCAACATAGTAAACCCCCCCCATCCCTAAAAAAACCTTTTTTTTTTTGAGACAGAGTCTCGCTCTTGTTACCCAGGCAGGAGTGCAATGGGGCGATCTCGGCTCACCGCAATCTCCGCCTCCTGGGTTCAGGCAATTCTCCTGCCTCAGCCTCCTGAGTAGCTGGGATTACAGAGACGCGCCACCCTGCCCAGCTAATTTTTTGTATTTTTAGTAGAGATGGGCTTTCACCATGTTGACTGGGATGGTCTCGATCTTTTGACCTCGTGATCCACCCGCCTCGGCCTCCCAAAGTGCTGGGATTACAGGCTTGAGCCACCGTGCCCGGCCTAAAAAAACCTTTTTTTAAAATTAGCTGGGTGTGGTGGCACAGTCTGTAGTCCCAGCTACTCAGGAGGCTGAGGCAGGTGGATCACTTGAGCCCAGGAGTTTGAGGCTATAGTGAGCTATAACTGCACATTGTCCCCCAGCCTTGGTATCAGAGTGAGACACTGTCTCTAAAACATTAAAATAATAGTAATAATAATAAAGGTCAAAAGCAAATGCCAAAATGACAATGAGTGCACATCCTCAATATTTTGAGAACCCTTACAAATCAGTCAGATCATCATCCCCAAAGAAAAATGAGTGAAACACATTGGGTTTCGGAGGTCTAGCTTGATAACCGTCCTGTCCTCCCCATCTGAGTCCAGGACCAGCTGAGAAGGACAAAGGAGGTCAACAGAGAGCGATATCCTGTGTCATGGCCACAGCTGGGCAGTGGGATTTAGGTGGGTCTACAAATATGGAGCCCAGAGTATCCAGACCTCCCCAGGAGTCAGCAAAATGGGCAGTTCACAGACAAGCCAGCCAGGCCCATGGGTAGCTACTGGACAAGGCACGCCTCCTGCCAAGCAGATTACACAGAGGGGCCTGGGCAGCCTCCAGGAGAGGGGAAGGATCAGCCCCAGGGGGTCTCAGCCAAGGTTCTAGGGGCAGGGAATTGTTAGACAAGGAAGAGGTGAAGGGAGTTCCAGGCAGATGAACCAACTAGTGCAAAGGCCTGGGGGCAGGCAGACAGCAGCAGGGGCCCGCTGGATGTGGGGTGTCCCCTACCTCCTCCTGCAGGCTCCGGCAGCGTGAGGCGGCCAGCTCCTTCTCCTGCAGTGCATTACTGTAGTGCAGCGACAGGCTGAGCATCTCATCCTTTAGCCTCAGCACCTCATGGAAGTGGGCGCTAACCTCACGCTTCATGCGGCTGTGGTCAGCCTCCAACTGGTGCAGGTCCTCGGCACGGGTCTCGGCAAGGCCCAGGCGCTCCTGCAGCTGCTGGCACTGCCGCAGCAGTGCCTCCTTCTGACCCTTCTCCTGGTTCAGCTCTTCCTGCAGGCTGCCGATGGCCCCAGCCAGGCACTCGGTCAGCTTGGATGTCTCCATGAGACCTGTGGGCAGGTGGGCAGGTAAGCATGTGGCAGGTGCACAGGTTGGCAGATGAGCCGAGGCACTGCCCCCATTCCCCCATAGCCTTGCCCAGACTCCCTAGCAGGCCCCCAGCTTTAACCTGCTGGTCTCCTTAAAAGCTCCTGGACCTCCAGCAGACTTGGTCTTTTGGTTGAGTAAACAGCATGACTCCTGATTTTGGCAGAAGGGTTACCCACTCTGACCTTCCCCGTGAGACCCCACTGTTCAGATTTAATGACTCTCCTCGGTAGCTGAGATGAACTCATTGCTAACTCATTTTAAAGTTATCCCAAGAAAAACCTAAGAAAGAATATGGATTCACATAATAGAACTCGAGAGAACAGAAATATATACTGGGTGGGAGCAAAGGGAAAATGGTCTATTCTCTACTGTTTTGGGTCCTGTGAGTCCTGCTCCTTTGAAAACCTAAATCTTTCAACAGTTCCTCCCAGGAAGCCTAGAATTACTCCATTACGGAAAAAGGTGAGCCAGTGCCCAGAAGGCTCTGCGGCACTGTACCCTCCGGGAGCTGGGCTGTCCTGGCCCCTCCAGCAAAGCTGCAAGGTTAAAGGCAGACTCCAGGAGACACTCCCCTGCCCTTTGCTTGCCTCTGGAAGGCAGATTCCCCCCACCCTGCCCCTCAGGGAGTCTCCTGTTGGTGCTGGGTAATTCCTACCCACCCTCAATACAGCGGAGGGGCTCCTCACCCTCAGAGTGCTGGGGCCAGAACAGGGACTGTCCTGGAAAAGCGCGAGAAGGGCTAAGTGGCAGGTAAGTGGGACGCCTGGGGTAACCAGGAGCCCGAGGTTCCTAGGAAGCACCCTCGATCCCGACAAAGTTGGAGCTCTCACCGCTAAAGTTGCTGAAGTCAACAGCAGGCTGCAGCCCAGTGACCAGGGTGTAGACGTCAGGGTTGTGGAACTTCAGGCTCTCCAGGAAGGCGATGGCCCCATTCTTCCCTCGAGTCTTCAGCAAATCCAGCAAGTGCCCTTGGGAGGCAAAACCCTCTGTTAGCTACCAAGGGGGCTGGGCTCCCTGGCTGGCTTCCCCATGGGGGTGGAGCCTGGGGCTGGGGAAACCCCTACACTTCTAAGAATCAGGAGGTCAAAGCAGTTTTCGGGGATCTGTGGGGTAGGAGGCGGCCTCACAGCTCCTTTTACCCACATGACCTCAGCCAGACTTGAGAAAGGCAAAGCTGGCATTTACTGAGCAACTCCTGCAACCCAAGTGCTCTGGCAAGTGCCGGGCACGAAGTGAGGAGGGCGGTCCCTGCCTGCAGCACCTCCCTGGCAAGCCGGTGGCTGGTGCAGATGCAGAGTCCCACCACAGTGCTGTCAGCCTCGGAGCTGTGCACAGAAAGCAGCAGAGCGGCCCCCAGGGCTGCAGGGGACAGGTCGCAGAGAGCCTTGGGGCCTTCCACACCCAGGGCCCAGAGACCGTCTCTCTCAGCCAGAATGACTAGCGTGGACTAATCCCGCCTGTGTCCGGGACTTATACACCAATGTGCATGAACATTATCATGTTGACAGCTGCCACACACTGCCTGTTTTCTACGGCCCCAGCTTTGCAGTGAGTATCTTATAAACACTAACTCATGTGCTTCCCCTAACAACCTCACAGGGTAAACCATTAGCATCCTCATTTTTTAATGAATAAGCACGGCTAGTCGGACCATCAGAATGGACCCCAAAGACATCTGCAGTGGTGTGAATGGTGGTTCCCCTTAAAAGGCAGGTCCACCTGGGGAACCTGTCCAGGTGACGTTGTTTGGGAAAAGGCCTGTGCAGACGTAACTTAATGACCTCAAGATAAGATCATTCTGGTTATCCGGTGGATCCTAAGTGCAACAGTGTTTTTTATAAGAAACAGGACCAGAAGAGACCCCCTGAAGACAGAGGCAGACAGTGGAGCCGTGCAGGGTGCAACAAGGAACACCTGGGCCCCACGGGGAGCTGGAAGAGGCGGGAAGAGGGAGCTGTGCTCACCAGCCCTCATGGCACTGTTGGTGAGCTGGGGACTGTGCAGCACCTCCTCCTCATCCAGCTGGCACAGCACCTTGGCCTGGCGCAGGTAGGGGGTGAGGCGGCTGGGGCAAACGCAGCGTACGATCCTGTGACGGTGGCTCTCCATCATCTCCCACAGCGTCTCCTCGTCCAGCGCTGTAAGCGTGGAGTCCTTGCGGCACAGTTCCCCCATGGCTGGACTCAAGGAGAACCCTAGGAGGAGCAGCCATGGGGGTGGAATCGTCAGGAAGCAGGAACAGAGAGCCAGGGTGACACCATTTTAAAACCAACTCCGTCGCAAAATTAGCAAGGCACACACACACTCTTTGCCAGTCAGAACCCAGGGTCCTGAGATGTTTAGGTGGAGGAAGAAGCTTCGTAACATCTGCAAGGACAAGCTCCCACAACAACAAAATGTCCAGACACCCCAACATCACAGGACACAATGTGCTTTTAAAATTATTATACTCGGCTGGGCGCCGTGACTCACGCCTATAATCCCAGCACTTTGGGAGACCGAGGCGGGTGGATCACGAGGTCAAGAGATCGAGACCATCCTGGTCAACATGGTGAAACCCTGTCTCTACTAAAAATACAAAAATTAGCTGGGCATGGTGGCATTAGCTGCGCCTGTAGTCCCAGCTACTCGGGAGTCCTGAGCAGCTGGGACTGCAAATATGGGCCACCATACCCAGATAATTTTTGCATTTTTTGTAGAGCTGGTGTCTTGCTTTGTTGCCCAGGCTGGTTTTGAATGCTGGGCTCAAATGATTGGTCACCTTGGCCTCCCGAAGTGTTGAGAATACAGGTGCGAGCCACTGCGCCAGGTCAAGGATAACTTTCTATAAGTCAACAAAGTACTAAATATTGTCATGCTGTCAGCCACCCACGCGTAGACATAACTTAGCTTTTACGTAGATAAGATCCCTGTATCAGAAGAGTTTAAAACAAAGCCAGCACGTTCCTCCTCTTGCTTTCTGAGGACGCCTTCCTCTGTAACTGAATGGCTTTCAATAAACTCTCTCTTCTCACTGCATTCTGCCACTCTCCTTGAATTCCTCCCTGTGAAAGATCCAAGAATTCTCTCTCGGGGTCTAGATCAAGACCCTTTTGCCAGGTGCAGTGGCTCATGTCTGTAATCCCAGCACTTTGGGATGCCAAGGCGGGTGGATCATGTGAGGTCAGGAGATCCGCCTGAGCAATATGGTGAAATCCCATCTGTACTAAAAATACAAAAAAATTAGCCGAGCATGGTGGTGTGTGCCTGTAGTCCCAGCAACTTGGGAGGGTGAGACAGGAGAATGGCTTGAACCTGGAAGGAAGAAGCTGCAGTGCACCGAGATGGTGCCACTGCACTCCAGCCTGAGAGACAGAGTGGGACTCTCTCTCAAAACAAAACAAAAAACCCTTTTACCAGCAACAGAATTAACCAAATGGCTTCTGGGGTCAGGGAGGATTTTCCATTCAAACCCTCTCTCCCCACATGGCTGGTGGAGAAGGAGATGATGATCCAGCCAAGATGAAGCGTCTGTACCCTGCTTCCTGCCCCAGCCTGGTGTCTGTCTACACCCCGCTTCCCGCCCAGCCCATTGTCTATGTCTACACCCTGCTTCCAGCCCAGCCCAGTGTCTATGTCTACACCCCGCTTCCCACCCAGCCCGGTGTCTAGGTCTACACCCCGCTTCCCGCCCCAGCCCAGTGTCTATGTCTACACCCCGCTTCCCACCCAGCCCGGTGTCTATGTCTACACCCCGCTTCCCGGCCCCAGCTTGGTGTCTATGTTACACCCTGCTTCCTGCCCAGCCCGGTGTCTATGGCTAGTAGGGTGGGAGGTGGAGGGGGATCTTCATCTTAAGGGTGAATATCAGAGCAATTCCTCTTCCTGGAGCAGGGCAAGAAGAAATGGGCTTCATTTGGTTTTGGCAGACTCATTTGCAATTTGCCTTTACAACACAGGAAGCTGCTCCTGGCTTAGGAAATTGATTTATCCAATGAAGGTGATATTAAAAAACAGATCACTGCTGGGCACGGTGGCTCATGCCTATAATCCCAGCAATTTGGGAGGCTGAGGCGAGTGGATCATGTGAAGTCAGGAGTTTGAGACCAGCCTGACCAATATGGTAAAACCCCATCTCTATTAAAAATACAAAAATCAGGCCGGGTGCGGTGGCTCATGCCTGTAATCCCAACATTATGGGAGGAAGAGGCAGGAGAATTGCTTGAACCTGGGAGGCAGAGCTTGCATCGAGCCAAGATTGCACCACTGCACTCCAGCCTGAGTGACAGAAGGAGACTCCATCTCAAAAAAAAAAAGAAAAAGCCGGGCGCGGTGGCTCACGCCTGTAATCCCAGCACTTTGGAGGCCGAGGAGGGTGGATCACGAGGTCAAGAGATTGAGACCATCCTGGTCAACATGGTGAAACCCTGTCTCTACTGAAAATACAAAAAATTAGCTGGGCATGGTGGGGTGTGCCTGTAATCCCAGCTACTCAGGAGGCTGGGGCAGGAGAATTGCTTAAACCCAGGAGGTGGAGGTTGCAATGAGCTGAGATCACACCACTGCCCTCCAGCCTGGGTGACAGAGCAAGACTCTGTCTCAAAAAAACAAACAAAAACCAGACCACTTCTCTCATGCATCTAGAGCCTACATTCTCAACAGAGGTGAAACAGCCTCCAAGGGTTGAAAATTCTTGCTCTTCTATGTATAAAGCACTGACAGATGGTATGTCTATGATATTAATATTTCATGAGAGGGCAATTAGGAAAAAGTTGTCTAAAAAGCTCCTCGGGGGTAATGATGAATAAAAGGTTGAGAACCTGCTCTAAGATAAACCCTAGGGTTTGGACACTGGGTCCAACAACCCAGCAGCCAGAGGCAGTGCCCCTGATCTACTTGGGAGCCAGGAAACAGGCAGGTGGGACTTTGGGTCAGGGAGCAGTTTTGCAATAATGATGCGTGCAGGCAAAGGGCACTGCTCCTCCTTGCTATGGTGGATGCCTGTTATTTCTTAGCCCCTGGTGGATTCTGCTTTCTGGTCAGAAGCCAAAGCGGGCTGACATTCCCCATCCTTTCTGGTGGCTGTAATGCCCAGGTGAGAGCACCTGCCCAGGACTTTGAATTTGTGCTGCAGCAGCAGGGAAAGGGGCACAGGGCCACTGTGCAGAGGAGGCAAGGCGCAGAATGGATGCTTATTACACAAATGGTTTGGGGAAGTCGTCCTCAGTTTGCAAACTGATCTGGAAGCCCGAAAAAACTCCTATCCACTCTATAGGACACCCCTTGCTTCAGCGGTGTTGGAATGACCTTGACAGTCTTTGCCATTCTGGTTTCTCCCTCTGCGTAAGATTGAGCACGCATGGCCCCATCTGCTCTACCCAACCCTAAACAATTAAGAAACTGATTCACACCTTGTTGTGTCAGTTACAGCTTTTCCTAAAAAACTGAAAAAAATACTTATTTTTTTTAGAAATTTCATCTAAAATAATGGTAGTAGACTAGGCGTAGTGGCTCACACCTGTAACCCCAGCACTTTGGGAAGCCAAGAGGGAAGGATTACTTGAGCGTAGGAGTTTGAGACCAGCCTTGCTAACATGATAAAACCCTGTCTCTACTAAAATACAAAAATTAGCCAGAAATCCCAGTTACTCAGGAAGCTGAGGCAAAAGGATCACTTGAGCCAGGGAGGCAGAGGTTGCGGTGAGCCGAGACTGTGCCACTACACTCCAGCCTGGGTGACAGAAGGAGACCCTGTCCCAACAAACAAACAAATAAATAATAGTAGGGGTGCTGCACTTTGGAAATGCTGCTTTATATGTTCTTCACGAAAGGTAATTTTCATTAGAAGCAAGACTGTCAGCTTCTCTAGAGCCGAGATCATGCTACTGCACATCAGCCTGAGTGACAGAGGAAGACTGCCTTAAAAAAAAAAAAGAAAAAGGACCAGGCGCAGTGGTTCATGTCTGTAATCGCAGCATTTTGGGAGGCTGAGGTGGGTGGATCACGAGGTCAGGAGCTTGAGACGAGTCTGGCCAGCATGGTGAAACCCCGTGTCTACTAAAAATACAAAAATTAGCCAGGTGTGGCGGTGCTTGCCTGTAATCCCAGCTACTTGGGAAGCTGAGGCAGGAGAATTGCTTAAACCTGGCAGGTGGAGGTTGCAGTGAGCCACTGCACTCTAGCCTGGGCAACAGAGTGAGACTCTGTCTCAAAAAAAAAAAAAAGGCGTTCTCCCAGAAGTCACTGTTCTTCCTCTTTCCCCAAGCGGCCTGAGGTAATCTGAAAATGGTTCGCTATTCACTTGATCCGGAGAACCCCACAAAGTCATGCAAATCAAGAGGTTCCAATCTTCGCGTTCACTTTAAGAACACACGTGGAACTGCTCGCGTTCACTTTAAGAACACACGTGGAACTGCCCAGGCCATCAAGGGTATGCATACACGAAAAGCCACGAAGTATCTGAAAGATGTCACTTTACAGAAACAGTGCGTACCATTCCGACATTACAATGGTGGAGTTGGCAGGTGTGCCCAGGCCAAGCAGTGGGGCTGGACACAAGGTCGGTGGCCCAAAAAGAGTGCTGAATTTTTGCTGCACATGCTTAAAAATGCAGAGAGTAATGCTGAACTTAAGGGTTTAGATGTAGATTCTCTGGTCATTGAGCACATCCAAGTGAACAAAGCACCCAAGATGCGCCGCCGGACCTACAGAGCTCATGGTCAGATTAACCCATACATGAGTTCTCCCTGCCACATTGAGATGATTCTTACTGAAAAGGAACAGATTGTTCCTAAACCAGAAGAGGAGGTTGCCCAGAAGAAGAAGATATCCCAGAAGAAACTGAAGAAGCAAAAACTTATGGCATGGGAGTAAATTCAGCCTTAAAATAAACACAACTAAAAGGAAAAAAAAAAAATCCCCTTGTTTTCAGCTGCCCAGCAGGTGGTCCCTTGTTTGCAGCGGCCCAGGACACTGATACGGAGGACCCCACATGAGGGAAATGTGCTAGGGAATGACACTGGGTACAAACACCTTGCAGAAGACACTGTAGGGTAGTAACGACCAGCATGGCTTGGCTGGGGGTATGTGGGGTTACAAAGGTCCCTGCAAGGACTGAGCTACAGCTGACCTGGGCTGCCACCAGGGCTGATGTCCCAAGCCCAGGTCTGTCTGGACAGAGCACATGAAGCGCGTCACCACTCAAGCCTGAACGCCTGCTCTTCAGGGGACATGCTGGCCAGTGCAGACTCTAGGAGCTGTTGGAGATCCTCAGCGGTCACCTGCCCAGCCTCCCGTCCCAGAACACGCCCGGGCACCCTAGCTTTGGAGGTGAGCTGCGTCCCCTGCCATGCCCCTGCCTGAGCCCCTCTCTCCCCTCCTGGCATCAACACAAAGTCATTAGCCCACGAATCCATCTAAATAATTTTAAAATGTTTTAAAAACTGTGCACTGTTTCCAACATATAAAACAGTACTGCAAACGATGTAACAAATATCAACACACCCACTGTATGAATTCAACCATCTTGACATTTTGCACTTGAGGTTTGTTTTTAAGGAAAGGAGAGCAGATGGCGCCTCCTGGTTCTCTTCAGTCCCTTTTCCCTCCCTCTCAGGCCATATATTTTAAAAATCATTTTAAAATGATTTTCTTTTTAAGGCAGGGTCTCGCTCTGTTGCCCAGGCTGGAGTGCAGTGGCGTGATCATGGCTCATTGCAGCCTTGAGCTCCCAGGCTCAAGAAATCCTCCCACCTCAGCCTCTCAAGTAACTGAGACCACAGGTATGCGCCACCATGCCTGGCTTATTTTCAAATTTTTGTAGAGATGGAATTTCCCTCTGTTGCCCAGGCTGGTCTCGAACTCCTGAGCTGCAGTGATCTGTCTACCTTGGCCTCTGAAAGTGCTGGGATTGCAGCCCAGCCTAAAAATGATATTTTAAAAATCATTTCCTACAAGTGGAAGTGTGTATAAACAGTATTCAGGACTTTCGCATGATACTTCATGCAGACATCACCTTTACATCAACAGGATTGTCAGCGTTAACTGCAACTTCACAGAAACTGTATCGTTCTGTGCGTACGGAGTCTGCGGTTTTAATACTGATACATGCAGCTCCTTGAACCTGTGCACTAGATCCAATGACATGAATAAGCCCAGTGGACTTCTCATACTCCTGTGGAAGGACATTAGGTCATGCCGAATTTTTCTCCACTGCTCACAGAGCTGTAGCCACCGCCTTCGTGAGTCTCTTGGGTGGGGTCGTTTCCTCACAGCCCCATGAATTCCTGTCACTTGATTCTTTTCATTTGGAATGAGAGGCTGCACCATTGGAGAAGGCAACTCTTGGAGGGGTCTGTATGCTAAAAATACTTGATAACCAGAGCAAATCAACATCTGTCATCCAAAAAATGGAAAATAAGCCCGCCGTGGTGGCTCACACCTGTAATCCCAGCACTTTGGGAGGCTGACATGGGTGGATTACCCAAGATCAGGAGTTCGAGACCAGCCTGACCAACATGACGAAGCCCTGTCTCTACTGAAAATACAAAAATTAGCCAGGTATGGTGGCAGATGCCTGTAATCCCAGCTACCTGAGAAGCTGAGGCAGGAGAATTTCTTGAACCCAGGAGGCAGAGGTTGCAGTAAGCTGAGATTGTGTCATTGCACTCCAGCCTGGGTGACAGAGCGAGATTCCGTCTCAAAAATAATTTTTTTTTTAATTTAAAATTTAAAAAACAATAAAAAATAGAAAGTGATTGTTGGGAGAGTCCTGGGTGCAGTAGTTGCGTCACAAGCCATCCAAGGAGCCAGGTCCCTGAGAGTACTCACCGTGGGGCTCAGATTTGCTTTCACAGGAGTTCTGTGCAGCAGGTTGGGGTCTGCAGTCCCTGCGGTGTCTCCAAAGCCCAGGGTGGTGCCGGCTGCCTCCTTTCTCTGCTGCTGGGTGGGAGGGAGCTGGGCAGAAGGAAGAGCCTGAAGCCAAAGCAGTGCCAGGTGAATTGACGGTGATTTCAAGCTACGTGACCTGCTCCAAAACTCAAAGTTCACCTACAACTGCAAGCAGCTGGGAAAAGAAGTCAAACTCAGATCCGGGAAATAGCTCGACAGACCTTTGACCCTTGTGGTTTTCCCAGTAACAATAGATACTTTCTTAGCACTAGAGGCAGACTTCTAGAATGCACCTGGGCTTTGAACCCTAGACTACCAAGGAGAGCTGAAAGGCGTAGTGATTATCCAAAGCGTCCACGGGGGGCTCAGGGGCTCCCCACAGAGCCAGGCCACTCACAGCCTTCTGCCGAGTCTCCTTGCCCGGAAGGAAGAACAGCGGCGGGGCCGGAGGGCAGCTGTGCCTCCCTCCTTCTCATCTCAGCCTGTTTCTCACTGGGAACAAACAGGTGATTGAGGCTTGTGAGTCAGGGTGTCACTGACTGTGGCCCCTGCAAAAGAATGCTGATGTCTTGATCCCCAGTACCTGTGAATAGGGCCTTATGTGGGAATAGGTCTCTGCCAATGTGATCAAGTTGAGGTCATTAGGGTGGGCCCTAATCCAGGGAAGGGCGCCCTTGTAACAACAGAAGGGCTGGGTGCAGTGGCTTGCGCCTATAATTCCAGCTCTTTGAAAGGCTGAGGCGGGCAAATTGCTTGAGCTCAGGAGTTGGAGACCAGCCTGGGCAACACAGTGAGACTTTGTCTCTGCTAAAAAGTTTTTTGTTTGTTTGTTTGTTTTGAGATGGAGTTCTGCTCTTATTGCCCAGGCTGGAGTGCAATGGTGGGATCTCCACTTGCTGTAACCTCTGGCTCCCAGGTTTGAGCGATTCTCCTGCCTCAGCCTCCTGAGTCGGTGGGATCACAGGTGTGCACCACCATGCTGCCCAGCTAATTTTTGTATTTTTAGCAGAGACAGGGTTTCACCATGTTGGCCAGGCGTTTTTTTTTTTTTTTTTTATTAGTCAGGTGTGGTGGGTACACAGGAGGCTGAGGTGGGAGGATGGCTTGAACCTGGGAGCCAGAGGTTGCAGAGCTGAGAGAGTGCCACTGCACTCCAGCCTGGATGACAGAGCGAGACCCTGGGTCTCAAAAAAAAAAAAAAGAAGAAGAAGGAGAAGGGCCGTAGACACTCTGTGATCACCCTGCGTTGGTGGAGGGAGAGACTGGACACACCAAGCGTGGGCAGCAACACTAGAAACTCGACAAAGGCCTGAAGCAGACCCTCCCTGGAGCCTTCACAGAGGGTGTGGCCCTGCTGACCCTGGAGTGTGGACCTCTGGCCTCCAGAATCATGAGCAAATACATTTCTGTTGGTTCAGGCCACCCAGTTTGTGGTCATTTATGATGACAGCCAGAGGAAAGTGCGCAGGAGCAAAGGGGATGTGGAAATTGCCCACCCATCTCCTGAGTATCTGGGACTACAGGTGCATGCCACCATGCCAGGCTCATTATTATTATTATTATTTTGGTAGAGATAGGGTCTCGATATGTTGCCTGGGTTGGTGCCAAACTCCTAGGCTTAAGCGATCCTCCCACCTCAGCCTCCAAAAGTGCTCGGATTACAGGTGTGAACCACTGTTCTGGCTGTGAGTCATACCTCAGCCAAGTTGTTAAAAAAAAAAAAAAATCCAGGCTTGGGGCAGTGACTCACACCTGTAACCTGGAAGGCCGAGGTAGGAGGATCCCGTCTCTAAAAAAAAATAGATTGCAGGGCTGCTGGTGACCCCACCCTGCTTCCTGCTTCCCTCTCTGGTCCCACTCCCTGCGAGGAAGCAGGAGGGTGGGCTGAGGAGGTCCCTTCAGTGACCAGTTCTGCCCCTGCCACCCCAGGGCCAGGGCTGGCGGGCCACGGTGCATGGGACACTGGCATCCTCTTTCCTTTCTCCTAATTTTCAGCCTAGGCTGGGCCCCCATCCCAGCCACCCCTGCCTGCCCCCACCACAAGTGGGTTCCCCGTTTGCCGGCTCCTGTTCTCTGCCAGCTGGTGTCGAGCAGGAATGTGTGCCCCAGGCATCTCCAGGCCAGCCTCCTCCTTTCCACCCCACTGGCTTCCTCATTCCAAAATCCCTGTTCACCTCAGCTGACCCTGTGACCCTCTAGGAATGTCTCTGGCTCCTGCAGAGGTGTCTGGGGTTCCCCTCACCCCTTCTTAGATATAACAACCACGTGGGCACAGTTGCCCATCACATCAAGCACAAAGTCTGCAGGTCAAACCAACCCAGGATCACTGCAGCCTCCTGTACCTCCCACCACAGCTCCTGGAGAAATGAACCACATGTTGCTTTTTTAAAAGTTAAAAAAAAATAATAATAAATGAATAAAACAGCAATCACAACATGAGGAAAGAAAAACAACTGTTCTGCCACAAACTGGAAAATGGCAGGCTGGGCACGGTGCCTCACGCCTATAATTTCCAGCACTTTGGGAGACTAAGGCAGGTGGATTGCTTGAGCCCAGGAGTTCAAGACCAGCCTGGGCAACATAGCAAAACCCTGTCTCTACAAGAAATACAAAAATTAGCCAGGCATAGTGGCGTGAGCCTGGGTCCCAAGCTACTTGGGAGGCTGAGGTAGGAGGATCACTTGAGCCCAGGAGGCAGAGGTTGCAGTGAAATGAGATTGCATCATTGCACTCCAGCCTGCTGGGTGACAGAGTGAGACTCTGTCTCCAGAAAAAAAAAAAGAAAAAAAAAAAAAAAACAAGAGGAAAAAAGGGAACTATGGCAGAGAAGCCCCAAAACCAAAGGAGTGGTGCAAAGGGCCACTGAAGGCACAGGTGCCAGCACAACACTTAGGGGCAGACCTCGCAGGAAGAGGGGGCCTGACCATCCCTCTACTGTTTGGGCAGCTGAAGAGAAACAAGCCTAGGGAAGTCAGAGAAAATGCCCCAGAGCTCCCTCCAACTTCGCTGGGATTCCTCAGCAGGGGTGGGGAGGGGCTGGGCTGAGCTGGGAGAGAGCCCAGGCACAGCTGTCCTGCTCACCGCAGGCTGACCACTGGATTTCTTTAGTCACACATCCGGGACAAAACTACGGTGGCAAGAGAGTCTTCCAGCCAAAGAAGAAGATTCTTCACCCTAAGAAATAATGCAAGCAGTAGAAATTGGGGTGGGGAAGGGGGAGGGAAGGCATCACTTTATCCTCCACGACCCTGTGCTATCTAAAATAAAATAAGGCCAGGTGAGATGGCTCATGCCTGTAATCTCAGCACTTTGGGAGGCCGAGGCAAGTGAATCACCTGAGGTCAGAAGTTTGAGACCAGCCTGACCAACATGGCATAATCCTATCTTTACTAAAAATACAAAATTAGCCAGACGTGGTGGTGCATGCCTGTAATCTCAACTACTTGGGAGGGGGAGGTAGGAGAATCACTTGAACCCAGGAGGCAGAGGTTGCAGTGACCGGAGATCATGCCACTGCACTCCAGCCAGGCAGACATAGTGAGACTCCATCTCAAATAAATAAATAAGTATATGAATAAATAAAATGCTGATTTTACTTTTATTTTCCGTTCTGTGGAGAACAGGGTCTCCCTATGTTGGCTAGGCTGGTTTCAAACTCCTGGACTCAAGCGGTCCTCTCACTTCTGTCCTCCTCAGTGCAGTAACTACAGGTGTGAGTGGTCAAATCCAGCACACGTTGATTTTATATAACATCACTAATTTATCAAGGTTTTTGTAATCTCTTACCTGAATCTCGGGAATTTTCAGGAATGAATAGTTCTTGTCATTGTGAGACTGTTCTACTACATTTAGCATTCCATTATTAACAATTAAAAAATTTTTTTTCTTGCCAAATCTGGATGCACTGTCTATAAGTTAGCCCAGCTCCTCAAGGAGCAGTAGGAAAAAAAATAAAAAAAACAAAAAAATTTTCTGACAGCAACATCTGAGCTGAACTAAACTTTAAGTCAGATTAAAAGTTTGCATTTAAAGCATGTAGACTATGATCCCATTTTTATAAAACAATGTTAGTGTATCTTTGGGAGTCCCTCAATCCATGTGCCCACCCCATCCATTCATTCAATCTGCCCATCGGTCTGTTCTGTCATTACGCATGTATGTGTGTCTGTACATGAGAGAGAGAAAAAGGGCGGGGGAGAGAGGGAGAGGCAGAGAGCAGGGGGATTTGGAACACTCCTCACCAATGCTAACACTTGTTATTCATGATGGTAGATTGTTAAGAAATCTGTTTAGGCTGGGCACAGTGGCTCACGCCTGCAATCCCAGCACTTTCAGAGGCCAAGGCAGGCGGATCACTTGAGATCAGAATTCAAGACCAGCCTGGACAAAATGGTGAAACCCCATTTCTACTAAAATATAAAAATTAGCCAGTTACGGTGGCGCTCACCTGTAGATCCAGCTATTCAGGAGGCTGAGGCAGGAGAATGACTTGAACCTGGGAAGTGGAGGTTGCCGTGAGCTGAGATAGTGTGCCACTGCACTCCAGTCTAGGAGACACAGTGAAATTCCATTTCAAAAAAAAAAAAAAAAGAAAAAAGAAATCTGTTTAGAATAAGCAAATATGGATTCAATAAAAACCATAAAGTCATTATTTTATAAAACTGCCAGGTGTGGTGGCTCACGCCTGTAATCCCAGCACTTTGGGAGGCTGATGTGGGCGGATCATGAGGTCAGGAGATTAAGATCAGCCTGGCCAACATGGTGAAACCCCATCTCTACTAAAAAACTACAAAAATTGGCCAGGTGTGATGGTGCATGCCTGTAATCCCAGCTACTCGGAAGGCTGAGGCAGAAGAATTGCTTGAACCCAGGAGGCAGAGGTTGTGGTGAGCCAAGATCGCGTCACTGCACTCCAGCTTGGGCGACAGAGTGAGACTCCATTTCCAAAAAGAGAAAAAGAAAGAAAAGAAAAAAAAAAACCAACAAAATTAATCCAATTGATCAAACATAGAAGGAAATGGGCCTCATCTTAAAAACGTTAGTCACAGAATGCTGGGGTCCCAGATTGTCTGGGACAGTCCTGCATATAGCTCTTGTCCTAATCAGTGGTGCTGCCTTTCTCTCTCAATACGGACTCAGCTTAGGGGCATAGCATCACAGGGAGGGAGGTGGAGGCATGCTGAGGTGAGCTCCTCCAGCTACAGCGGGAACACCAGCAGAAACATCTCCTCTCCTGCTGCCCTCAGCACAAGGAGAGGGTGGGAGCCCAGGGGATGACAGGCACTGGCGAAGCAGGTAAAGTTCTAGAAGAGGGAAAGGGGGAGGAAAACTTGGCTGGTCCAGGCTGCATCAGTCAGGAAGGTGACTGTTTCTCATCCTCAGGGCAGGATTTCTCAGCTTCCCACTTAGTGAAAGAGAGTGGAACATCTTCCTAAAACCCCTATATTTGCCCCCAAATCGCTCATGAAACATCTGCTTCAATAGGCATTGATCCTGAGCCTGGAGGTTCCAAAGCAGATGGAAAATACACATGTCCCTAAATGGTGGCATCCAAGGCCTTTCTTTGTGGTCAATGGCCCTGTGATTAAGTGGGTGCCAAAAAGCCAATGACCCCAAAACTAGGGCTTATGGAAGTATAATGTTTGTTCTAACAAATGGCACCCGGGCACGCCCTCTGGTATTTTACTGTATCGAGTTGCCAAGAGGCCACATCTCCAGCTTGCAGCTGAAACCCTGGGAGTTCTGAAAGGCCAGGTCTCTGAGGATACCTTGAGGACCAGGACTGGTGGCTGGCCCAGGACTACAGGTCTCTCGGGTGCCTTCCCAGCGTTGGGTCCAGGTGGCAACGGCTACCTCTGATAGGGTCCTTTAGAGGGTCCTGAGAGGGTCCTGTGCCCTAGATGTGCCCAAACCTCACAGGATTCCTTTGGAGGGTCTGAGGGTGCTGTGTCCTCCCATCAGAGTGAACTCAGAAAGCCAGGGCAGCTCAAGCCAAGGCTGCCTCACCAGCCCCTGAGGACAGAGGCTCTGCAGGACTCTCCAGACCCTGGCCAACTGACCCAGTCGGCTGTCCCTCAGGCTCCAGAGCCCCCCAGAGCCACACTGGGCTTTGAGCATCAGTGGGTGGAGCTAAGAAGTCACTAGTCCCTTCTGCAGTTGCAGTAAAGCAACTTACAGTAGACCCCAATGGCAGTTAACAATTGTAGGAGTTTCTTTGTAACTCGTCCCAGGGTAAATAGAGATTAGTCCTAAAAGGGGGGAAAAAACCCCTTTGGGCTGGGCACGGTGGCTCACGCCTGTAATCCAGCACTTTGGGAATCCAAGGCAGGAGGATTGCTTGAGCTGAAGAGTTGGAGGCTACAATGAGCTATGATTGTGCCACTGCCCTCCAGCCTGGGTGACAGAGCAAGACCCTGTCAGAAAGAAGAAAGAAAGAAAGAAAGAAAGAAAGAAAGAAAGAAAGAAAGAAAGAAAGAAAGAAAGAAGGAAGGAAGGAAGGAAGGAAGGAAGGAAGGAAGGAAGGAAGGAAGGAAGGAAGGAAGGAAGGAAGGAAGGAAAGGCCAGGCTCTGTGGCTCATGCCTTTTAGGTGAGGTGGCTCACGCCTGTAATCCCTGCACTTTGGGAGACCAAGGTGGGCAGATCACCAGGAGTTTGAGACCAGCCTGGCCAACATGACAAAACCCTGTCTTTACTAAAAATGAAAAAAATCAGCATGCACCTGTAGTCCCAGCTATTCAGGAGGCTGAGGTAGGAAAATCGCTTGAACCTGGGAGGCAGAGGTTGCAGTGAGCCGAGATTGCGCCACTGCACTCCAGCCTGGGTGACAGAGAGAGACTTCTTATGAAGGGGAAGGGGAAGGGGAAGGGGAAGGGGAAGGGGAGCCCAGAGATCTCTAATTCTAAATTCCATATCTAACCGTTCAGCAATTCTAGAAGAGTCTAAAATCATGAAATCTCCAGCATCTAAGATATGGGTTCTCCTTATTTGACCCCTCCCAGGTCAACATCCTTCTCCTAACCCAAGGTTCAGTCTCTTCCCTTGCTAGTGAAGTACAGAAGAAGGCACACGTACACACACATGTGCATGCACACACACACACACACACACACACACACGCAGGAGGAGGGGACACAGCTCACCCCAGCCCCCCAATGCCATGACAGACTGGCTATGCCCCTGCTACCAACAGCAGGCAGCTGGTCTTACTCACTTTGTTCTGAACTTCGACACCTTCTTTCCCCGGTCCTTGATCCTGCGGCAACAGTGAGATCAGAGTATAAAACAGAGGATCCCTTTCATCTAACACGACCCGTGCTGTTTTAAGGCAGAACTCAGCATTCAGCGAATGTTTCAGTGATTGACCCAGCAACACAGACAAGTCGTTTTCTGCTTTCTAGTCCACACACAGGGCAGCACCTCCACTCCTGAGGAAGAAGCTGGCCCCTCCCACTCCCCTGGGACTGCTCTCAGGCCCCATCAAACCTGTGTTGGCTGAGCCCCTCCGTAGGCTGACCTGCTCTCTGCCAGATGGAGTGTGTGCACTTGCCTTCCCCCTCCCAGGGAAGTGATGACTGAATGTGGCCCAACACCTGGCTGAACTGAACGGCAGCGGATGAGCAGGTTTGACAGGCACATCCCACAGAAGCAGTGCCTTATATGGGGCTTCCATGAGCTGTCAAAGCACCAGTACATTCCAACAGCTGGGCATTGATGTAAGAACCACAGGGATGGCCAAGAACAGTCCAGGCATCTGGTCGACCCACAGAAGGCAGTGACTGAGGGGAAGGCTTCAGGGTTGGGGGCTGGGGACTCCTCTCTCCTTTGTGAATGGTCACCCAGTTCTTCGTCATTTCTACTCTTGGGAAAATCCTAGGAAGACTAGGATGAATTCTGGCCCCTTCTTGGTTCTCGTGATCGACTGTGGGAAGTATCTAAATAATCCCAATGGACACATCTCAAATCAACATTTCCTGACCATTGTTTAGATTTAGATGAAAGTCTTGGTCCTCCATGTTGAGATGTGTCTAGAATCTGATTGATTCTCACCCCTGCATAGCAGTGCCCTCATCACGGCCCACTGGGACCTCTGCAGCAGCTTCTAACTTCTTCCCATGCCCTGTCACCAGCGCTCAATACAGCAGGCAAAGAAGTCCTGCTTAGTCACATCAGTCCCTTTGGGCTATAGACACAGAATTGCTCTGCTTATCCAGTCCTTGCCGACCTTCTCTCTCTTTCACCTACTCCAGACACACAGCCCGAAAGCCTTCACCGTCCAGGCACACGTCTGCCCCAGGGCCTTTGCACCTGCTGTTCCCGCTGCCTGGAACACTCTCTCCCTCCCCTCCTTCCACACTCCACTCAAATGCTACTTCCCAGATCATCTTACTTAAGTCTGTAGAACTCGCATCCTGGCCTTCCCTTCCATTCCCCAAGGCAGTGGGAATACTGCCTTGACCTAGTGTGTATTCTAGTTAGGAGGCTTCCTGCCAGCCTCCCCACTCCTCAGTAACCTACCCAGGACAATAATTCTTGTCTTTCTTGTTCCCCACCCCTAGGGCCATGATGTTCCATAAATATTGGTTGAGTGAATGAATAAACATTGGTTGGGTGCTTGGTTCCCAATGATGCAGACACTGAAAGAAGGGAAATTCACAGCTCCATGGCCTGAGAACCTTCAGAATTATCCTGCTGATGGCAAAAGTCGGCTTTCAGAGTTATGTATCTCATGGAGACTGCAACAACTCCAACCCAAATCTCCTCCTGGTGATGAGGTGGCTGAGGGCACAGTCAGTTGGGCAGAGCAAGTGAGAACACAGTCCGAGGCTGGACGCAGACATGAACTCTCCAACCAGGGTAATAGCCCCATGGGGTGTCAGCTTTCCCTTGGGGAGGTCGCTTAAGCCCCTAAGGCTCAGCTCTCTTTGTTTTTTTTTTGTTTTTTTTAAACAGAGTTTTGCTGTTGTTACCCAGACTGAAGTGCAATGGCATGATCTCGGCTCACCGCAACCTCCGCCTTCTAGGTTCAAGCAATTCTCCTGCCTCAGCCTCCCGAGTAGCTGGGACTACAGGCGCACACCACCATGCCCAGCAAATTTTTGTATTTTTAGTAGAGACTGGGTTTCACCATGTTGACCAGGATGGTCTCGATCTCTTGACCTCGTGATCCACCCGTCTCAGCCTCTCAAAGTGCTGGGATTATAGGCGTGAGCCACCGCGCCCGGCCTGGCTCAGCTCTCTTAGTTTCCTCCAGCAGGCCTTGTGATGAGCCCTGCCCCACAGTGGGAAAGCTTGCCAACTCATCACACTGTGCCGGCCACAGAGAAAGAGCTAGTTAGCTACAGAAAATGCAAAGAACTGCTGCCATTCCCAGTAAAAGAGGGGGCCAGAAGGGTGCACTGGAGACGAAAGGAGCCTCAGTAAGAACAGAAATAGCCATAGAAATAGTCAAGGTACAGCTATAAAAAGGAATGAAGAGCCTTTATGGAGGCATGGATGAAGCTGGAAGCCATCATTCTCAGCAAACTAACACTCAGAAAACCAAACACCACATGTTCTCACTCATAAGTGGGAGCTGAACAATGAGAACACATCGACACAGAGAGGGGAATGACGAATTGGGGCCCATGGTGGGGGGAGGAGAGGGAGAGCATCAGGACAAATAGCTAATGCACGTGGGGCTTAAAACCTGGATGATGGGTTGATAGGTGCAGCAAACCACCATGACATACGTTTACTTATATAACAAACCTGCACATTCTACACATGTATCCTGGAACGTAAAATAAAATAAAATAAAATAAAAAGAAACAGTCAAGAAAGCCATAACCCTGAAGGACCCTCTGTTTTCTGCGGGCAAAAACCTGTTATCATAGGCTGGGTGCAGTGGCTCACACCTGTAATTCCAATTTGAGACCAGCCTGGGCAACATAGGAAGACCCCATCTCTACAAAAAATAATCATAAAAAAAAATAAGGCCGGGCGCGGTGGCTCAAGCCAGTAATCCCAGCACTTTGGGAGGCCGAGATGGGTAGATCACGAGGTCAAGAGATCAAGACCATTCTGGTCAACATGGTGAAACCCCGTCTCTATTAAAAATACAAAAAATTAGCTGGGCATGGTGGCATGTGCCTGTAAGCCCAGCTACTCAGGAGGCTGAGGCAGGAGAATTGCCTGAACCCAGGAGGCAGAGGTTGCGGTGAGCCGAGATCGCGCCATTGCACTCCAGCCTGGGTAACAAGAGCGAAACTCTGTCTCAAAAATAAATAAATAAATAAATAAATAGCCAGGTGTGATGCAACATGTCTGTGGTCCCAGCTACTCTGGAGGCTGAGGTCGGGGGATCGCTTGAGTCCAAGAGGTAGACGCTGCAGGGATCCGTGGTTGCACCACTGCACTCCAGTCTTGGCAACAGAGGGAGACACTGTCTCAAACAAAACAAAACAAAACAAAAAAACCTGTCTTAGTCACTATAGCGTCTTCAGGACAACCCCACTGACGGGTCATCTGTATCACACAGCATTGCAGCTGTGTTCACATGTCCACGGCCAATAAGGCAGCATCTCTAGTAATCCAGCCAGGTTAGGTTAGGGTATCCCTGGAAACACTCGAAGCGGGGCCTGGGGGACAGGGGCCAGCAGGCACCAGGACAGCACCACCCAGGGGCTCCATGCCTCGTGGCAGTGATCAATAAAGAAATGGACGTATGCCAGACCTGCGCCAGCCATAGAGATCCTCTGGGTACTTTTTTTTGAGACATAGTCTCACTCTGTCATGCAGGCTGGAATACAGTGGCTTGACCTCAGCTCACTGCAGCCTCCACCTGCCAGGTTCAAGCAATTCTCCTGCCTTAGTCTCCCATGCAGATGGGATTATAGGTGCCTGCCATCATGCCTGTATAATTTTTATATTTTTAGTAGAGACAGGGGTTTCACTATGTTGGCCAGCCTGGTCTTGAACTCCTGATCTCAAGTGATCCCCCCATCTCAGCCTCCCAAAGTGCTGGGATTACAGGTGTGAGCCACCATGCCCAGCCTCCTCTGGGCACTTTATTAATCCATATAATTTAGGGAGTTGGGGAAAGGCTTTTCCTTGAAATCATGATGTTGGCACCAGATGAAGATGGAGCCGTAAGGCCCTACAAGAATAAAAATCAGACCCTCAAAAGAAAACTCCCAAGATTAGAGTTTAGGTTGACTGAGGAAGAGAACCTCTACCTGACTCCCCTGCCATGGGGAGACATAAATAAGGGGTCACAGTGTCATAAGCAGGGAGCGTATGTGCCTTCACTCTTGTGCCTAGGGGCTGGGAGGATTCCAGGACTTCTTCCAAGACATTCTAAACATCCGAGCTGGAGACCAGAGTAGGCGTCTCAGGCTGGGTGGCTCTGCAGTGTGGCTGGCTGTGGATGAGGATGAGCGACAGCAGAGACCGCACACCCACCCCTGGGCCACACCAGTGCCTGCAGTGGGCTGGGTGGGGAAGGGCAGGAAGCAGTTATTTCCACAAGACCTGGCAAAACTGGTCACTCCTGTTGTGTTTTATAACCGCCCACCTGACAGCTGTGCTTGGATGTCCAGACTCCTCAAATACAACCCAGCAAACTGACATCTATTGACTTTTTTCTTTTCCATTTTAAATATTGAGGTGAAATTCACACAACACATAATTAACCATTTACAAAGAGTTTTTCAAGACACAGGGTCTTGCTCTGTTGCCCAGGCTAGAGTGCAGTGGTGTGATCATAGATCACTTCAGCCTCAAACTCCTAGGCTCAAGTAATCCTCCCACCTCAGCCTCCCAAGTAATTGGGATTACAGTCATGTACCACCACATTCAGCAAATTTAAAGCAAAAATGTTTTTGTAGAGATGAGTTCTTGCCATATTGCCCAGGCCGGTCTCAAATACCTGGCCTCAAGCGATCCTCCTGTCTCAGCCTTTCAAAGTATTGGGATTACAGGTGCATGCCACTATGCCTGCCTAATTATTTTATTTTGTATTTGTAAAAATAGAAAAAAAATTAGCCAGCTGTGGTGGTGCATGCCTGTAATCCCAACTACTGGGGAGGGTGAGGCACGAGAATTGCTTGAACCCGGGAGGCGGAGGTTGTAGTAAGCTGAGATCGCACCACTACACTCCAGCCTGGGCCACAGAGTGAGACTCTGTCAAATAATAATAATAATAAAAGAACAATTGGGTGGCATTTAATAAAGATACAATGTTGTGCAACCACTGTATCTAGTTTCAAAGCATTTTTAGCCCCCCAAAATTCTTTTATCCCCGCAAAACCACACGTCTATTAAGCAGCTCCTAGTCCAATGCAACCACCAGTCTGCTTTCCGTCTCTGGACTTGCCTGTCGTGCACGTTTCAAATCCACGAAGTTGTGCAATATGTGGCCTCTTGCATTGGTGTCTCTTCCTCTGCGTGATATTTTGAGGCACCTCCAGGTTCTAGCCTGTGTCAGCGCCTCATCCCAGATGTGGCTGTATCATACTCCATTGCGTGAACACTGTGCGTTGTTGATTCATTGCTTGTGGTCATTGGACGCTTGTGAATGCTGCTCTTGTAACCACGCAGTGGGTTCATTTTTCCCATTTCCCAGATACAGCCAATTTATCAAGAATGGGGAATTGCAGTAGAGAAAGAGTTTAATTCGCACAGAGGTGGCTGAAGAGGAGACTGGAGTTTTTTTATTATTCAAATCAGCCTCCGCCGAATTCAGAGGCTAGGATTTTTCAAGGATAGTTTGCAGGGTGGGGGCCTGGGAATGAGTGCTGCTGATTGGTTGGGGGTGCAATGACAAGGGTGACATCATCTTCTGGGTGGGGCCAGAGGACACATTGGCAGGTCCACGTGGCCCCATCAGCTGTCAGAAATGCAGAACCCTGAAAAGACATCTCATATGGCCAGTCTTAGGTTTATGTCTACACGTCAGCAGAATTCAGGCTCTCTCATCCCCCTAACTTGGCAGTCTTTCATCAGCCTTACAATGGCAATTTAGTTTTGGAGAAGGGCTATTATCATTTAACTAAATGTCTCCAAAAGGTAGCTTGACATAAGCCCAGGAATCATTAAGAGCAGTTTTGAGGTTAAAGACAAGATGAGGAGTTTCACTGGAACCCACGAGGTTGAGGCTGCAGTGAGCTATGACTGCACCACTGCCCTCCAGCCTGGGCTACTCAGTGAGACCCTGTCTCTTAAAAAAAATTAAAACAACGGCCGGGTGTGGGGGCTCATGTCTGTAATTTCAGCACTTTGGGAGGCTGAGGCAGGCAGATTACCTGAGGTCGGGAGTTCAAAACCAGCCTGACTAACATGGAGAAACCCTGTCTCTATTAAAAATACAAAATTAGCCAGGAGTGGTGGCACATGTCTGTAATCCAAGCTACTGGAAAGGCTGAGGCAGGAGAATCGCTTGAACACGGGAGGTGAAGCTTGTGGTGAGCCGAGATCCCTCCACAGCACTCCAGCCTGGGTGACAAGGGCAAAACTCTGTCTCAAAAATAAAACAGCAACAAGTAAAACCAACAAATAAAACCACCAAACTGCACACTTTGGATTCCATGTGGGATTATTGGAAGCTACTCCCTTTTGTTGTCTGGTATTTAAAATCCTCACTGCGGCCTGGGTTTGCTTCCTGCTCAGGGAATCAGTCCCTACAGGTTTCCATTTATTGATCCTTGTCCCTTCCATGAACTGCTTTTGATTTCCCATCTTTTTCTGTCTTTAGGACACAGGGCTTTTGGGCCCTTGTGTGCAGGTGTTCAGCTGAGAACTGAGACCCTAGAGAATACTGCTGAACAGAAATGTGAGTTATACTCCATTTGTGGCTAGCAAAACTTCACTTTCTTTGACCTGTCTTTGGGATGGTTCTGGGTCTTGCACAAAAATACGTTATCAGCTGTTT